TCAGGGAAAAACTTGTCTGATATTTCTATCTATGTTACCATGCAAAACATTCATGCGGAGACTTTGCAAGAAAAACCTTCTTTTTCAGTCACCAGCAGACGGTAAGTAAGGGTAAGTAAGGTCTCAATTTAGACTAGTAAGATTTTTGAGCAGTTTTATTTGGTGGTGTAGATGGAGAACTTTTTTCGTATTCACTGTTTTTACGGAGACCATAATGCACCTTGTTTACAACCAAAATTTTGCATAACCCTTGTCTTCCATTTCTCTTGGGATGACTGTAATACCCGGGAGAAATTAAATACAATGGTTGGGCAAAATTTTAGATCTAAACAATGTGTATTATAGTCTAAGTAAAAAAGGTAAATACGAAAATAAATCTTGATTTCTCCATTTAAACCACCAAATAAAACTTATCAAATATCTGACTGGTTTATGTTTATATCGAGACCTTTCCTACCTTTACTTACCTTCTGCTTGTGACTTAGGTGACAGGTTTTTCTTGAAAAGTCTTAGCATAAATGTTTTGTTTGGTAACATAGATAGAAAAATCGGACAAGTTTTTCCTTGAGGGATAAACACTCTAACTTTTCCCCCTAAAGAGTGGGGGGCCGAGCCCACACCCCACTCTCCCCCTTCCCGGGAGGGGAGTGGGGGAGGGGGGTTTGGGCGGGAGCCCACACCCCACTCTCCCCCTTCCCCACAAATATCTGACTGGTTTATGTTTATATCGAGACCTTTCCTACCTTTACTTACCTTCTGCTTGTGACTTAGGTGACAGGTTTTTCTTGAAAAGTCTTAGCATAAATGTTTTGTTTGGTAACATAGATAGAAAAATCGGACAAGTTTTTCCTTGAGGGATAAACACTCTAACTTTTCCCCCTAAAGAGTGGGGGGCCGAGCCCACACCCCACTCTCCCCCTTCCCGGGAGGGGAGTGGGGGAGGGGGGTTTGGGCGGGAGCCCACACCCCACTCTCCCCCTTCCCGGGAGGGGAGTGGGGGAGGGGGGTTTGGGCGGGAGCCCACACCCCACTGCCGGGTAATTTATTCATATATTCATTATTTTTACTCGAAAGAGCGCCGCAGTAGGAGTGGTATTTTGTTGTACTCAAAAGAGCGCCGCATTGCCGTGTCGTAGATCGCGACAATGAACTATATTTTAATCTGTTTACTCAAAAGAGCGCCGCACTGCCGTGTTCTTGAAATGGAGTATTTTTAATAACTGTATTCTCAAAAGCGCCGCCCAGCCATATGTAAATTATGGAGTTTTGATAAACAAATTGTATTCAAGAGTATCGCATTACCATGTTCTCGAAAATGGGATATTTTATATAGCCCTTTACACAAAAGGGCGCCGCAGTACCGTGATTTAGAAAATGGAGCAAGTTTTCGGTTTGGCATATATCTCACGATTCTGGGGATATTTATTGTGAGTTTGAGGGTTGACAGCATTTGATTTCAAAGGCGTTAATCTCTATATTACTTCCTGACGGATAGAAAACGTTCATTTGTGCTAGAAACTAGATAAATAGTTTATTGAATGAATATTTATGCAACCCATAGGCAGAATTTTGTATTGACAAGTAATGTTAATTACAAAATATATGAACTAGAAATTATTAACACAGAAAATACATTAAAGTAAACCAGTTTTTCTTTGTAATAATTTAATTGCGTTTTATCTTCTTTACATATATTTTCATTATTATCGTGAACCTGATAAAAACGGTATTCACCCACGCTAACTCCTTTCCCCACTCCTCTCCCGGGGAGGGGAGAGTGGGTGTGGTCCGTTTAGTCAACAGCGGGCGGGGTAGGGAAGGGCTCAATTTCCAAACAAAATTAAGAGTAGAAAAGTTTTATATGGTGGTGTAGATGGAGAAGAAGACCAATTTTTTATATATATTCACCACTTTCACTTAGATGATAATGCACCTTGTTAATCACCATAGCTTTGCATAACCATTGATTCCAATTTCTTCCCGGCATTACAGTGGCCCCAAAATAAATCAAAGACAATGCACACGCAAAATTTAGGGGTAGGAAATAAAGTGCATTATGATCTACGTGAAAACGGTGAATTTGAAAAGGTCTCTCCTCTAAAGGTTTTAACCCGCAGAGAATATCACGTGATCTACAATGGGTAGTTAACCACAGAGCGTATTAATTTAATAAAGTATAACTGAAATTACTGTATCTTTTTAAGGAATATTGGAATATTAATTTTGCAATGGCTTTGAAGACATTTGCTGCTTTAGTGGCCCTGTATAACTGCTGTAATTATTGGATTTTCAGCAGCAAAATAATTCTAGTGTTCCTGGTGTAGGGTTTGACTTTCGACTTTCTTTCTGCTTTAGGCCAAGCACATAGTGGATAGTGTGTTAAGGGCTCGTTGTGCACTTTAGCGCTCTTAATTTGCATTAATGGTGTGATTTTCAAATTAGTCCCTTTTTGTCTTCCACTTGCCCTTGAAATATCTCAAAGGTGACTATCTAAAAATACCATTAGCAAAAGAGGGAGGTTGTTTAACTTGGCAGGGTTCTGGGTTACACATTGAAATGCAGCTTAAGTAAACTTATCTTTAAACATGACCTTGAATAGCGCCAGGGCTAGGCTTACTTCCTTCGAGCAGCGAGTATGTTTTTCCTTAAAAAGGCAAAGAACTTGCCAAAGTTTTGCTATTTACATGAAGAAATTAGGACGGAGCTGTAAATGAGGCACAACTTTGAGAAGAGGATCCTATCAGCCCCTTTTACCAGAACAAGTTTTTAATGCAACTTTTCCTTGGTGGTGTAAATAACCATTGACAGTTTTTTCAAAAAACCAAGTTCTCCACTTTACACGAGCAAGTCTTTCAAGGAAAAGTTGCCTCTGTATTCCCAGAGATTTAGGTTCTGCTATAGGAAGTGTTATTTTATTCAATGAGCTGCACTCTGCAAATGTTTAATGACAATACCACACAGAAAAACCTGATTCAGAGAAAGCAGTACAAAAGAACAAGAACAATTAAATGATCACTGGACCTGCGAGACTATGAATAACTTGAGCTAAACCTCACTTTTTGGGTTTCTAATATAGACATGTGGATGTGAATGGCCGATGCCAGGCTCGTTTCCCATTATCTTTAATTTTAAAGGTAACATGTGGGAATGACGTAGTGGGTATACAAAAAAATATACTGTATATTATTAGCTACAAGCTGCCTTGGGTGCTGAGGCAAAAAATACTAGTAACCATTTGGAACTCTCCCTCTCTTTTTTTCATTGGGGCGAGCTCTTTGTCCGCCTTATTCCAGTGCATTTCTTGAATGTAAGTACAACAGTTTCATACCACTTGACTGGCCAAAAGCTGTTATGCAGGAAAGCAAGAAATACCATTGATCCTTTAAAAGAAAGGGGGTAGATTTCCAAATAATAGTATTTTTTTGGGCCTCAGCACCCAAGGCAGCATGTAGCTAATAATGTATATATATATATATATATATATATGCAATAATAAAGGCGAAGTTCCCGTTATTAAATTTATAATTTACATCAAACAATAAACTTGTAACCTTTGCAAAGAAATCCACTTAGAGTTGAGCCATGTGATTTTGGTCAGCAGATACCCTGTTTTGAAAGCTGTGAAATGGCCACAACCCTTGCCTCCCAGCATGGTGATTTTGTACCACACAACTGTCTGACCACCTTCAAAAGGCCCATTGTACCATACGACTAGCTAGCCTTGAGTATTCAGAAAAGCACAAAACAATATTAAAATACCAACAGGCCATGGCTACCTCTACACTTGAAAGGATGGGTTTTGAAATTCAGATTGGGGACATAATTATCTCCCCCTCACCTCTGTGAACAAAAATGGAAATTCAATTCGAGAGGGCCTCATTACTTTAAAAGGATAATCTATTTTAAAAATGCCTGACGCGGAAAAAAATTAGAGAACAAACAAATGGCAGACAAACTGAGAAACTAGAAATACCATCATTGTCATTTGGTCAGTCATATAGCACAAGTGGCAGAAAGATTTTGTTTACCTTTACTACTACAGTGGAACCTTGATATAACGAACACCTATATAAGGAAGTCCTTGGTATAACGAACGATTTGTTTTGCCCCAGTAATAGTGAAATATATGAAAAAGGACCTCGTTATACCGAACACATTTTGCCATTCCCTTGGCCCTTCATTAAGTTGAGGTTCCACTGTATAGCAGAGTAAATTAAGACAACTTCAATAATTCAACTGAAAATTAACCCATTCTATTGTAATAATATTGTAATTTGTTTCCCACAGAGCACTAATAGGAGTTCATAAGAACTCGGTGAAACATGCCTGTGCGTTCCAGATCGATTTGGAATTTGGAAGTGTTGGTTTTTAAGGTGAGGGGAAAACCGGAGTACCCGGAGAAAAACCTTTCGGAGCAAGGAAGAGAACCAACAACAAATTTCCACTATTTTCACCACTTTGTAGGCTAGCTTCTTTACTTGCTTAGCTCTTCCAAGGGCTTTCCATGCACGTAATAGAGAAGCCTGTTTGTCCTATACCCTCTTTTACCACAACATATTTCTCAAATTAATAGTTACAAGCTGGCTTAGGTCATAGCCACTACTAGGTATCCCTCAAAAGAATGGAATTATAATGGCAACTATATCTTTAAATTCTAATTTGAAGTGCTACTATGATGGAAAATCAATTCTATTTTCTTTTAACATTATTTTTACTTTCCAAATTTCTTAAACAAGTTCTTATTACTTTTACCATGATTTCTTGGTTTGACAGTGCATCCATCATTAATACATGTAATAATCCTTTGTTCCAGTTGAGTGGCAACAAGAGAAATTGATTTACAGTAACAGTGATGTCATTTCATCAACAAGCTAAAACTGACATGACGATATTGAATCATTGTTCATACAAATTTGGACAAACAAATTTCAATGACTTTGCAAGGACAAATAACAGTTTTCAATGACTAAGACTTATTCAATAAATCAGCATTTTTTATCTCATTTTTGAACTAAGGAGTCGTTTACCATTTTTACTTCTTCAGCCATACCACTTTCCGTGACAACACTTTGCAACGACTGGGTATGACTTGAAGTTGCATCTGAGGTACAGAAATAGCATTTGAAATAAGGAAACAGAAACAAAATATTGTTTATGCACAAAAAAGTTGTAACAATTAGATTAACCGTGAGTTTTACAGGTTCTTACACCAAGGACGAGCCAAATTTTCCTCTGTGAGATAATCTAATTTCACAGAAAACAGTGTGGAGTAGACGAGGTATTGAATTTCCAGGACTTTTGAAGACCCAATAAAGGAATCCAGTACTTTTCAAAGACCTTAAGCGAATTCAATAACTTTTTACTTCAAGACCTTTTCAAGATTGTACAAAGCTGCTGTATGAATGCTGCCAACTGCACAGGGTTTGAGAATTTCTGGAAATTCAACTGATATCATTTTCATTCTTGATCAGTCCAACTCTTACAAATTAAAATAAATTTCAGTAAATTAATGTGGACAGGCAAACCACATGATCATTGTCAAAATAACCAGCATCTCTTTGTAATAACAACCTGAAATGGTTATTAAATATTTCCCATATATACCTGCAGAGAAAAGAGAATTGACTCTAATCGTTATAGCACTGTTTTAAATATACTTCTTTGCTTTGTTATAACATTAGTATGAAGCCAAGACAACTTCTCAACAGGTCCTTGAATGCAACTTCCTTTATTATGACATTTCACCACCAGTGTGCAGCCACAGTCTGTAGTCACAAACTTCCTTACTCTGTTAGATCCATGGTGCTGGGGAAAAATTAACAACTATTCAGTCTACACTCAAACTGACATTGTTGTTGATTTATCAAAAGACACTTCCACGGTCTTATTTTAAATAACAACAGTTAATAAAAATCCTGGAAATAACACCTTAACCCTTTGACGACAGCTCTGGTCATTTTTGTTCCATAAGGAACAATGCATATTTCCCTCCCTGGACCCATTGAGCTTTCAGTTTAAGCTACATGTAACAAGATGGTAAAAACTTTCTAGATTCGATGAGCACTCTAGTCCTTTGTTTAAATCTCTTGAAATTATAAAATTCCTGGACCTAGTAACTTTTCATTTAGCAATCTTTATGTATAAATATCATAATCAATTATTGCCATCGGTCTTTAATTTTTTTTCACTAAAATTTCGCAAATTCATACCTATAATACAAGGCTTGGTGCAAAACAGTCTTATTATCTTCCAAAAGCAAGAACAAATTATGGTATATTAAATATCAGATTTCAAGGTCCATCAGTATGGAATTCCATTGACGAAGATATCAAATTATCTTCATTGTCTTTGTTTAAAAAGAAAATGAAACAGCACTTTATCAAAGATTACTAGACATCTGTACATTGTCTGGGTAACTTTAAAATGGAAATAATACTGTTTTGCAATGTATGAATTTTAGTCTCTTTATATACTGGTAGTTTACTTAACTATTTGTGTGTGTTTCTCTGTTTTCTTTGTTCTTGTGTCCCTGACCTACACATTTAAACATCTTTTCTTTTAACTGGCTGCTGGCATTTTTAACTCTTCGGTTATTTTGGGCAGCCCGCGCCCCTATCATCGTCTGTACTATTGTTATAAATTTTTATTTCTTGTATATTATGGGGTGAAATAAAGTGTTGTTGTTGTTGTTGTTGTTGTTGTTGTCAGCAAAGATAGATCTTTCCACTAATACCTCGGCCTCGGTCTGGATATTCTGACCAATCCTGATAAACTTCCATTGAGTAGTTCCAGAAATTATCGATAACCTCCCCCCCCCCACCACCCCATGGAGGGCAATGGAAATTCTGAGGGGAAGGGGGAAGGTCCTAAAGGATCATTTCCAAGGGGGAGGGGGTTTACTCACCTAGGTTTTTTTTTCCAGGGGGCTCTGAGTAAGATTGGTGAGTTATTAATAATTAACAGCTTCTCTGTTGAGCAAGTTATGTGTTATTTTACTGTTACCAGTGTTTCAAAACAAGTATTATTGTTTGCATTGATCATCTTTTATCTACGGTCAGCTAAATACTTTTTTCATGGCTTTTGCGATAGCTTTCTTTAATATACTTGTCATCAGCTCATGAATAAACTTCCCGTTATCTAGCTGTTGCTAGATAACCAGCACCCGCCTGCGAGGTTCGTACTCTTTTAACCTCTTCAGATTCCATGACTTTTTCCATGACCTTTTTAAGTTTTCCAAGACCTTAGGTTTAGCTGTCACTTTCAAACATTTTTAGGACTTTCCTTGTTTTATGGTATTTTTGGACCTTAAACAGTTCAACAGACACAAACTCTGGTGTCCACTTATCTCTATCTTGCATTGTCCTTGCCTTGCCATTGACAGTAACTAAGCTATCAAACAAAAACTTTAATTTTCCATGACTTTCCAGGCCTGGAAACTGAAATGCTTATATTCCATGACTTTCCAGGTTGTCCATGACCTGTACAAACCCTGCAACATGGAATGAAACTTCTAGGGGGGTGGGGGGTCTAAAGCAAAAGTGCCCTCCATGGGGGGGATGGATATTTTTTGGAACTACACATTTACTAAAAAAAGAAACATGTTGGGGAAAAATCCATTGCCAATTTTACTCTTAAACTACTACTCTTTGAAGATTAATTTTGTCCCTTGTCATCACCAGAGGGTTAAAATCAGTGAAGTTGCCAAGTTTGAAAACAGCAGACCGCTGAGAGATCAGTTTCCTCCTATGACAATACCAACAAAGACTTAATGTCAATGTTAATAAGTCAGAATCTGTCCTGGCATAACTATTATCATGGCCAAAGTAAACATCGCAAGTCTTACGTTTAATCAAGAGAATTTTCAGTAATTGTACCCAACCCCATGTAAACTGCTCAAACTACATTCATTTAGTCAGACCACATATTGGGCCAAACTTCTTTAACTATGTGAATGCTAGTGTACCTCCCATAATACAGATTCCTTAGTCTTTTTCTTTTAGTTACTTATTATTTATTTTTAGTTCCTAGTCCATTGTGCACTGATTGTGAAAATATACAGAATATAGTTGAATACATGTAGTTCATGGCATATATGTATTCCAATTACCTGTATTATTTTTCTTTCATTTCATTTTCACTTTATTTTAATTTGTAGCTTTGCTTTTTCTTTTTAGTAATATTCATGTAATTTCCATTAAAATAATAACACTAAAATAATAAAATAAAATAAAACTCACAAAATGCTGGGCCATCTGGCTTAAGTTGTAGTTCCCTAAGGCACAAACATTACATTAGTACATTTTTTCCTGTTTTCCCACACTCGCTCAAGACAGCACGATTTGCAATTTAATTTCAATCCTGAATGAAGCTTGTTTTAGCTATGTCATACTAGAACGAAATTGCATATGTGACCGAGCTGCACGAGGAAGGTGAGGTAGCAAATGGTGATCCAAAGAGAGACAAAATGCATACAAAACAAACAATAAGAACTACAATAAAAAAAAAACGCTAGGAAAACGAAAGAAAAGAGACAGGAAAAGGGGAAGAAAACGGCAATATAGCACAACTCCAGTGAGGGGAGAACTCTACAGAGCTATGTCCTACAGGCTTGACCAGTAAACTTGGCTACTGAAACTATACTAATGAGTAGAAACTCCACATGCAGGCATATTTATATCGTGCTGAAAACATACTGCCAGCATCCTGTTATAAGCAATATGATTGGACAACTACAGTATAGCTACATGTAGGTAAGCCACAAAACAGTGAAACCTTCCTGTTGGTAATACACCTGTTTGTAAAACACAATTATCGCTTTACTGCAGAATACATACGTATTCTGTTATCATAACAGGAGGAAACAAATGGAGTGCTTTGGGGAAAAACTACATGTACAACAATGGCGACAAATTAAAGCACACTAAAATCAATTAAATTCTTTCCTGTTCAAGGGTGTAACAGCGGAAAAATTACGAAGCTAGATAAAACACGGGTAACCACAAAGCAGAACCTAAAGAAACGCGTACTGTGGGAAAACGATAAAAGGAACCGCAAAAATAATACCGAAAAGAAAAAAGTTTTGTGAGCTAATTATTGAGCCCAGTTACACGTACCAGGACAAGAATTTCATTTGGAAATGGTCTTTCAAAAGTGGAATGAACTGACTGTGGAATGGCACTTTGCAATATTACTTAAAATAGGTTTTGTCACCTTAGATATACGTTATTGAAACCAAGTTGAATTTTGTTTCTTTTAACAATAAAAATTTTCAAAGACAACAAAATTGTTGGTGAATGTGACTGTCCCATACAAAACTCTTATACTGATCAGGTTGGTTCAATGTCTACTGGTAAGTCACAGCAGGGACCAGAAATTTGTGACGTCATTAGCGCAAAGTGCTTTTACTAGTACACAAGAATGGAATGTTGTTCAGTATCTTGTAAACAAAACTAATATGGACTCATTCCAGTATCATGAGAATAGCCCCACACACAGTAACTCACCTTTTTTGATCCATTTCACCAAATTAATATTGCACTTCCCTCTGAAATAAAATGAATAATTGTATTACTAAACCACAGCAGGATTAGTTCAGTCGGTAAGAGTGCTTGATTGCAGAGTGGGAGGTTGTAGGTTTGATTCCCGGGACCAGACCAACACTCAGGGTCTTAAAATGACTAAGAAATGAAGGTACTGCCTTTGCCCTGCAAATAGCTTTGCGTGGCTTGTATGACCATGTAAAATGGCCGTCCCGTCTCCAGCAGGAGACATAACACTAATAAAAATAGTGTCCCCAATTAGCACTTTCATGCTAAATACATTGACACTCAAATAATTATAAAAAGGTAATTTCCAAAACATTAATGTGATCAGATAATGCCATGGAATGAGCTTAAGACTAACCCCCCACCAACCTCTAAAAGTAGGCAGACTTGATTATTTTTGACTCTCAAGACTGAGCAATCTTCCCAGTCCTATAATGTCATGCAATTCATACATTGGGAACGAACCCAAACTTGAAGCAAATTGGGTTAATAATAATTCAAAATAGCAGATTAAACACAGCCGAGAAACTTAAATACCAATCAATCCTTAAGTTAACACAGACGGACAAAATTAGTTGAAGAAAATCAAAACAGTGTGCTATAGACTGTTTGAGCTTTTGAATACACAGGAGAATTAAATTGGTTGGCATGAACTTGCAAACTTGTCAGTACCACATTTTAGTTTCATAAAGATTTAAAAAGAATTTACAAGCAAAACAAAACAAACAAACATTAATACACAATCCCTTTCTTTTTAATGTACCATTTTCAGACCAAACATCAAGTTGACTGGGACTCACACCACTGAATTGTACATTTAGTCAACAGTTACTGGCACCATACAAGCGACTTATTGATGGACTCAAGCAAAACTAACTACAAGAGAATGGATTGACTAACTTCAAACTTGCTTGTTATAAAATTTCCTTTGTTTGAGATTTGTGATAATGTGTCAAAGGCGAAAAAAACAAAAAACAAAAGCAAAGTTAACATCAAATGAGTAATATATCTATTTCCTTTCAATGTAGAACACATACATAACACATTATAAATGGAAAATACTGAGTTTGGTGATACCTGGAGATGTCTCCTCAAAAGTTTGGATTTCCTCCTCACAAAAATCAGTCATAAAGAATGATGGTTGCCAGTCAGGGTTCCAGTCTTCGATGACCTGCAAAGCTTCTTTAATGGAATCAGTAGACTCATCTTGGAGAACAAATGATGCCACAACCTGATAGTAAACATTTGTTTTTACTGCTAAAAAGAACAGTGGTAATGCATATCAAGTGGTCTTATACGTGGCATCCAAGAGGCAGATGTCATTGCCATACTTGCTCAACAGCCTTCTCTGTCAAGTTGTTTGATGGACAAAGAGGAATTTTTGATTGGACAGTGGAGATGTTACACGGATGTCCTCATCATCCAGGTCCTCTCCATTGCTGGAATTGCTTACAACATCATTCTCAAATTTTGCATCATAAATGCCACTATATTTACGGAAGAAAAATTTGTCATTGGGGTTTGCGTTTGCCACTCCTTGACTTTCTCCTCTGCATTTGTTTGATTGCAGTTTGAAAATCTGCTCTTTACCATTGCACGGTACATGAGATTGTAGATATCTTTCTTTGTGGGAAAATACTGTTGGCTTGTCGGAAGTGGCATCTCTCTTCCAGGGAAGATCTCAATTCGAACAAATTCTCTCAAGTGTCTCCTCATCTCATCATTATCGGTGACACCCCTGTTCAACAAATCATGAATTTTGGTGATAACTCTTGTGTCTACTGCCTGGTTGATACCACTAGCCTGGGTGAGAATAAGGATACAGTAACTAATGATTGATATTTGTACTACGTATCAAAGGAAAAGAGGATGAAAGAGTGGTCTGTATGTTTACCTCTCCGGTAATGTGGTACAGGTGATCCTTGACCTCAGGAAGCTTAATGTAAAAACGGCATTCTCCAGTGAAGTCTTTCTGCCCTGACATGTGTTCTCGTACTTTTTCAGATGTAGTTCTCTGTCATTTGGGTGAATCAATGGTTATCTGGACAAAATGTAAAAATTTCAATTAATTGCAATAAAACTTGAACATTGTGCTGTAAATCTATAAGTCTGCAATCCCATTGATATACAATGTGAGGATCATTTTTTTTAAGCGGCCTGCATATTGCATGATTTTTAAAATGGCCCTTCCACCCCTTTCAATTGAACCCCTTCCTACTCTCAAAGGTACAAAGGATTATTACAAAAAGATTAAATATTGTTACCTGAAACTGAGGAAATTTCATTACCTCCTTTACAATTTTTTGTGCAGGACAACCTATCTTCTTTGTGTCTTGTACCATTCTCTTTACTCTCTTGATGTAATGGTGGTCTTGAGCTCCCTCCTTTTTGGTTCACATGTAGAAGTAAAAAGAAAGAAAGCAGATGGAAAACAAAAAGATTATGAGCTTGCAAATTATATTCGCCTCCATGAGATTATTGATTTTGTCTACTTTATGCTGCTACTTCATCCACTAACTTTTCCACTTTTAAGAGTTTAATGACTAAAATTCATTAATTTTAATCATTATTTAAATGATTATAGTAAGCTTAATGTCCAATTGTTAGTTTGCCCTTCTGTGTTTCCATGCATTGTTGTACAATGTGGTGCCCTTGGGTGGAAATTACTAATGAGGATAATAATACTAATAATCATAATAAATGAATGAAAATAGATCTGTCTCAAAGGAATACAAAACCTAACCTTCTCAACCAACTCTTGTTTTAAGTTTTTAATATAGCTACTTAAGTTTTTAATATAGCTACTTACATTTAATTTTTACTTATACCTATTTTTAATTTTTTATGCATTTTTTGTATCTTTTTAATCCCTTTGCAATTTTATAGCTTTTTTTTTGTTTTTATAATATATATCTAGTTTTGAGGTCCTTTTTGAAAACCATATCTTTTATGAAAAAGTTTCCTCAATAAAGATGATTATTATTTTTTATAACTCTTTCCTTTTACATGCTATCGACAGAAAAGAATTAGTGACCATTCTATCTACAGACATGAGTAAGGCTTTTGACCCCTATGTCACAATTTAGTCATCAAGAAGCTCAAAGCATATGGGTTTACTAACCAATCATTGGATCTAATTCGATCGTTTCTGAATGACAGATACAGTCGCGTAAAACTAGGCAGTATTAGAAGTGAATGGTCTAAAATGTCACGTGGTTAACCTCAGGAATCTTCATTTGGTCCATTATTATGGAACTTATTCCAGAATGACATGACCATGACACAAACCTTTTCATGTATGCTGACGACCATCAGCTATATGTAACAGGGTCGGACTACAACATCGCATCTTCCAGGCTACAAATATCAAGGAAAGTTGGCCATGTCATGGTACAGGGATAACTTTCTACTTGCCAACACAGAGAAGTTTCAATGTCTTACTATCAATCCAAGAGACATTAACTCAGATAAACAGACTGAGGCCCTGCAAATTGAAGACCAGATCATTGCCAACACTTCACAAATCATATTACTTGGAGTTGAAATAGATGACAAGCTTAATTTCACCAGCCACATCAGTAACATTTGCATAAAAGCCAGTCAAAAAGTCGGTGTCTTATCGAGACTGCAAAATTTGATACTATGCAAAGCAAAACTGATAATCTACAAATCATCCATCCTGCCTCACTTAACATATTGCCATCTGGTGTGGCATAACTGTAGATCTTCTGACAGTAGAAAAAGAGCAGATTCAAGAATGCGCACTTAGAGCAGTATTTAACTCCCATTCAGGATCATACGAAAACCTTCTGCTTCGAGCAGAGCTACCTTCACTACTAAATCGAAGACTACAAGATATCGCTATATTAATGTACAGAGTAAAATATGGCCTCGCACTGAGTATTGTTAACGAACTATTTAAGCGGAAAAGCACTAGTTATTCACTAAGAAACAGTGATTTTGATATTCCGACTTTTAACACTATTAACTATGGAAAGCATTCTCTTAGATATCAAGGACCTCATATATGGTCGAAACTAGAAATTAAATTAAAGACTCCCCGAATACTGAATCTTTCAAAAGAGAACATTAGGAAAAAGACCTAACGTCACTCTTAAACAACAACAATAGCTGCTGTAACCTTTGCAATTCTTAGAGACTACCTTTTATATATATTATTATTATTATTTCTTATTTGTAAATAATTTTTTTTTGTGTCCCCAATTAGTTGTGAAAACTAAATACATTGAGACATTAATAAAGCTTTTACTTACTTACTTACTTTTACTTACTTTCTGTTTCCTGCATGCTTCCTTTCTATCTTTTCCATTTCGACAGTCAAAAATCTTCTGGCCAAGTACAAAATATGGCATGCCATCAAATTGTATAGTTTGGTCCTCCCACATAACTTTGTGTGAAGACGCTAATGGGTCTGATTGAAAAACCTCTAGTAAGTACAGTTTCTCTCTGATATATGAATAAAAAACTCTGTGGTCTTTTTCCTGATTACTTTTGAAAATCTCTTATTTGAAGACAATAGCCCCACTGATCATGTATTACTGTGAAGTGAGTTAAGTATCTATATTTTGATTTGTGAATCAGTTTTCAAAGGAAGCAGGGGGCTTCAGGTGTAAGTGTTGTAGTTCAGTTTGCACTTTGGTACAATTTGTTTTTGTACCAGTACAGAATATATTAAACTGGTACAAAATATTTTGTGCTAGTCCAATTTTGAATAAAAAGGATTGGGGTGAAGGATAAGGAGACTTACTCTTACTATCAGTGATATCTTCATGCCAAGGATAAGTTAAGTAGGTATGTGCAAGGGGTAAATTTTTCTTGTAGCAAAAGGTGTATAAGGGACTTAAGGGAATTACCTCGAAGGGGGGTTGGGATACCAGATGGGGGCAAAGGGAAAAATCACAACCTTGCCCAGAGAGAAGTTGCCTGTACAACAGGTGTTATTGGGGGAGCTCAGGCAAGTTTTGAACTTTTTGAAAGGACTGTTGAACTTTCTTGTGGCAAATAGTTCTCCCCCACACCCCCTCCCACCTTCTCTCCAAGGGCAGTATGAGATGGAAACAAGCATTTACCGTTGTGTAGCTTGGCAGATGTTGTGCCACAAAGTAAATCTACCGAGTTGTGTAGCTTGGCAGCCGATGTGCTAGAAAGTAAATCTACCGAGTTGTGAAGCTCGGTCGCCGTTGTGCCACAGAGTAAATCTACTAAGATGTCAAGCTCGACGGCGCCATTTCAACGTGACTTGTGATATTTTCGGCACCAGACAAATGAACATCTGAGGTCTATGTTATTTATTTGGAAAAACTTATAAACAGCCTACAGTAGCTTCACTCAAGTCACTGAAATCAACACAGTCGACCAAATTACAGCACTTGTTGAGATGAACCATACGATATTACTAGCCTTCAAGACTTTTTCATAATGATTTACTGTTTGAATGGAGGTTTTGCTAAAAGCAATCCTTACATTTAAAATAGGCCATGATCATCGCAACAACCATCCATCCCTCCCCTCAACTGCTACCTGTATGCCTAACAAACACATATCGAACGCACTCTCCTAAGCTCTGATTACTCCTAGTTATTATTATTATTTATACACCGAACTTGGCTTTCCTGTGGTATACTGGAAACTTAAAACTCAAGTCAAGTCAAAGGACTTCACTTTAAATTTAAGATTGCTCCAAATCTCTCAATTTAAGAATAAGTTTTCTTATTTTACAAGAAAATTTAAAACAAAATCTATAATCATATGATAATAAACAGGCAGTTTGAACTTGCGAGAACAAAATCTTATTCTATGATTTGTTTTAAGTTTTTTTCTTAAAATAAGAAATCTCAAATTTAGAGTGCTTGTTATTATGTTAACCTGAGAACCGCAGAAGTATTGGCTTTCGTTACTTTTAGGGGACCATAGCTTAGAAGAGGAAAACAAGAAAGGGCACAAGCAAAATGACAAGTTTAAAATGACAAAAAAAATAATGTCATATCAGTTCGACAAAAAAGAACAAATGAAGTGCAAATACTGGTCATTCTTGAAAGCATCTTTTAGCCACGAACCATGAGTGTCACAGTCGGGACATTTCTTTCTAATTTTTGGGATTTTAGGCAATTTACCATAGATTCACAATAGATTCAAGAATAATGCAGAAAACAACTAAAATAAATTCATGTTTTTTTTCTCATTCCACATTTTACATTTGGCATATAAATTCGTCACATTCTTGCATAAACTCGTCATTTTGCTCATGCATTCAGTAAGCGTTTTCCTCTATAAAGCTACGGTCCCCTAAAAGTAAAAGGCCAATGTATTTGCGGTCGTCGCTTCTAAAACACTGGATGTTCCCGCAGGCTAGGTATACAGCTATTTCAAGAAAGGTTGTCGGAAAAAATGTGCATGTGACAATCCCAAAAGGTAATATGGGATGTTGGTCAATACACTATTCCTGACGTACTGAGCTGTTGAACCTACTTTTGTTGCTTTGTTTTAGTAATCACAAACAGACGTCCAAGACCTCTCGTGCCATTCTTTCACATTTCTTCGAAGAACGTATCCGCGCGATGGTTACCGCCTTTGCGGATTAATAAAGTAAAAAAAACAGGGGATTGTCGCGTGCACTTTTTGCGACAACCTTTCTCGAAATAGCTGTATGTATATTTAGCAAAATCCAGCTAGTGGTCTATTATCAATTCTGGGTTCTGATTGGTTGAGCTACTACTAAGCTATATGTTATCGCTCACTAGAAGTGAAAAGCACTGGCTTCGAAAACCAAAACAATCGCGGCTGAATCGCCTTTTGTTAGCTAAACTTGTTTTGTCTCGATATTTTTGACCAACTCGTTGGATTTTACTAAATCAATAATTATTCCTCTCACCCTCATGGCCTCCGAGTCAATAGCCCATTCGGCCTTCTGCCTGATGGGCTATTGATGCAGAGGAATAATTGTTAATAAGCTTGAGTAGAAATAAAAAATAAAAACCAGAAAGCAAGCCCATTCAAGCTTACAGTTGTAGTATAACAAAATACAGTAGTCAGTAGCAAGTCTACTTACATCGTGTTTTCACGCCAGAACCTCTTCTTCACGTGCACCACTCTCCGATGATTGAATTCTTTTTTGTTCCTCGGAAACTCTGGCTCTTTCTTTAACCTCAATCAAACGCATAAATGGTCCGGTATTCTTACGTGCCTTTCTCTCCAGAAAGGTGTGTTTTCCTTTCTAATAAACGAATGAATACGGAGTTGAATCTCCCTCCATTGCCCAGCATCAGCCATCAGTACACGAACGCTCGAAGGAGGTAGACTGGCTTCCATACGCTGATTGGAGAATTTTGATCACATGGTCTTAGCGCGCGGAAAATGAAAACGAAAGATGAACCCGCGGTGTGAAGCGTCTCGCACCTGCACGCGTTTTTATTTCTTCCAATCAAAGTACCGTGTCTTCTCTATGTGACTTCCCAACTAGGGAAGGGCTTTAGAATGAGTTTCGTTCGTTCCGTTTTCCTGATCCTCTGGAAGACTTTTGTCGCCCGTGTGCGTATGAAATAGGATAACCTACGTGTAGCCGCACCCTCCCCCGTTTGGGAAGGTGCGGCGACACGTGGGCTAAAAATATTCGCGCCGCGCCAGTAACTCTATCAACTTGTCAAAATTTAAAACTATTTGCTGTGGTGGTACTGTACGAAGGGGGGGGGGGGGGGGGGGGTATCTTCGCTGTGGTGTGGGTCTCGGGCGTGACTAGGATGGGCTGCTCGAGCCGTGCCTCCCGCTGCGCCGGGCGGGGTCGGGGGGGGGGGACGGGGACCACGCAAAGACACGCACTCCGTCCGCCTGTTAATTTATTTTATAATATGTTTAATGGGGTTTTGTGGGGGGGGGGGGGGGGGGGGGGGGGGGGGGGGGGGGGGGGGGGGTTTCTCCTCTAAAATTAACGGGGGTGCTAGTCGTACCCTTTAGGGGTTTAAATTTGTGGATTGTTACCGCATAGTGTGCTAAGACCTAAAATGACTGCTGCCAGAGTTGTCTCGGTACCTTTTAGGGAACCAAGAACGAGAAGTCCAAAGACTACTGCAAAGCTGATTTAAAACAACGTGTGTTGTTTTTTATAACAATATTTCGACTGGCCATACCAGCCTTCTTAAGGTTTACAGATGTTGCTGAACTTATGTAGCGATCACAGTATTATATAGATGGAGAATGTCGCAATAAAAGGGAGAGGCGGAAATGACGTACAACATAAAAACTGGAAAGGAAAAATACTAAGGATATGGATTACAATAATTCGTCACGGCGGTTTAGGCCATTTAGGGTTATCTACCGGAAAAATGTATTTGTGCCAGTTATATAATTAGTTGTTGTTGAATCGGTACCTCTTAAGGGTGGAAATGAATTTGGGACACGCCCAGAAAACAAGATTCTGGTACCTTTTAGGGATGTTCTCGAAATTTTCAGACGAGCACCCCCGTCACTTTTATAGAGGAGTACCCCCTCCCCGGGACTGTACGATCTGGTCAGGACTACGCCCAGCGTGCTGCGGGACCCAAGCCTATGATGTACTGTGGGGGTACTGTACGATCTCGGTTAGGACTCTGTCGAGAGTGCTGAGGGACCCAGGCCTACGATGCTCGTTGTGATATATGCTGTGGTGGTACTGTACGAGGTACCTAAGCCTACGTACGATTCTCGTTTTAATACTTGCTGCAGTAGGTGGGTATTAAGATACTGCACAGTCGTCAGTCACAGTATGTAATCATAATCAGTAAACTTTGCCATTTTAACATATAAGAATGCACGGAATGATGTATACCTGAAACTCGTTTGAGAAATACAACTTTTGAAACTCAGATTACAAGCTCGGGGGGTACTCAACAAATGTCAGTTTATACGGGGAGGCTCCGCCCCGAGGTCCAACCACTTACCCTTTTATGTACCATTTTTCACAAAAAAGGTACCCCTTTCGTATACCTTCTATGGACAAATGGTACCCCTTCCACATACTTTGTTTAGAACTTTGCATCCTTTTTAATTGCTGTAAATGCACTGTCCTTTAAATAGGAATCAATCACAAAAATAAAACTTTTTCTCGACTTAGCCTTTTTGGGCCCTTTCATAGACCCAAATGACAGATTTACCTACCCTTTTATATACTTCAACTAGTGAAATCCCTACCCTTTCATATACCTGAAGCCTGAAAAAGATACCCCTTTGGGGGTTTCAGGGTATCGGTATCGGAGCCTCTCCGTATCATAGGGCCCGGAGTACCCCCGGGATTACAAGAGATTACAACACAAACACAGGGCAGGTCAATGTATGTCAAATCTTTTCAAAATGCAGAATTAATTTTTAGGACATGTTTTTGCTTCATTCTCTAATAAATTTGAATTTCAAGCGAACACCCATAGAATCTTCAAGGGCTGCCTGTGATTTTCAATGTAATTCAGAAGAAAACCAATTACTAATTGTGTCCAATGTGTAATCTTCTTTTATTAGTAGATGATTGTGTTATAGGTAGTCATGGTTTCTAATTTCCTTTTTCCATTTTTTAGCTATATTAATCAAGTACTAATTAAATTAATTGTTATTATAAAGTACACGGTATTCGTGCATATCAAGCTTGTCCTGGCTTGTCGTCATACAGTCTAGGGGTGGAGCATACAGGATCCATTCGTACTAGTTGTCACCCACCTTGCAAGTGTGACGAATATTACAGTGTGGTAGAAGAAAATGAAGATTTGTTAATCTTGGCTTAGGCACTCCCTTATTGTTGCAGTAATTGCTAAGTCTATGTTCACACTTGATAGCTGCGCCAATCTCTAAAGTGGAAAGTCACATATCGGATACTGTAGTTGTTTATAGAATACCGGATAGCTTTTCATGTTGGCACAAAAAAGTTCCCGGTATAGTGTTTGAACTAGCCTCATAAAGGGCAAAGTCAGTTTTGAAAACTTCTTCAGTCACTTACAGCATTAGCGGATTATAGTCAATGTTGTGTCCATTAATTCCGATGATGGACTCACGAGGGACTGACTTCATGACAGTACACAGAGTACAGTTTCCCATTTAGAGAGTAGTTTATTCAGCTTAGTAGAGAGTTAAGGTATAACCTATCTAACACGGTGTGTACAGTAAAACGTAAATTATTCAGTGTCGTTTATCACAATAAATTCGCAAATAAACCAAAACAAACAATAAAATTAAATGTTAAAAACGTGCTATTAGTTTTGTTCTACACTCACATCGACCCGGCAGCTTTAGAGGCATGCGTATCTCATGATGTCGGGGTGGCCAATCAGTGGTACCATGAACTGAATGGGATCAGAAACCCATAAGGGGTTGAAACGTGTAACTCTCATATGTTTGCTTTGTCCGATGCTCGTGATTATTCATTTTCGAAAGTACCATATTTGGAACGAGAAGAAGAGATAATTGACCAATCAAACTTCGTAAACAACGTGACGTAGTTATACTTCATGTTCCCGCGCCCGCTTGAAAAAAATGGCCGACACACGGGGGAAAAGCTCCCGAAAGCCGAGAAAGCTTTCAAAGGTTGAAACCAGGAATATTACCGAAACACTGAGCAGGATATTATTGCCTTACCACCCGGGCCAAACGTAACATTATGAAACCCATTGACGGCCTCGCAACTTCTTGAAGTTGTCACTTCAAAAAACGATGCCTCGTTGACCCTCTGCAGAGTAAACTTATACTGCAAATAGGCTTTTAAAATTCATTCTTATGTTAAAAGTCTAGAATAAACAGTGAAAAATATTTTCGAATAAAATTCATTAGCTGCGCATCGAAAAGTGTCCAAAACCTGACCCTGACATCTCCGCAAAAAGTGATGCTTGTAATGAATGTGGGAAGCATTTTAAAAGCTTAAATTAAACTTAGATGTTGTAGCCACGATCGTGTTTTGAGCTAATTTTATAAATGAACAAACTCAAAACAATAGACAGAGAAAAGCCTTTTCTTGAAAATTTTTATTCAACGAAAAGTTAATCCTCTAAAGCAATTCGGAAAACACTATCTGGATCGTGGATCCGTCCACGCAAGTGAAATCGACTAAGCACATGGCAAAATTCAACACAAAATCCATCTCAAATCACGGCACATTTTGTAATTTTTCTTTAGCGCCGAAGAGAAAAATTTATAAAACGTCTATGAAACATTTAAAAATACATAAATTCCCTTTCAAAAACGTAATTGTCTTGGCCATAGAGTGCAAAATGTACCTGAAAATTCAGCAAAAACTTCGCTGACTTGGTTACATTTCAAAACAGACCATGGGCTCCGCCGTGAAGAAAACAAGGTTGAATTCCTCGAAGGACGATTTCTTGACAAAAGCGTCCCTTTCTCCATAAAAAGAAAGCCGAGCATTCTTTTGAACTTTCTCTTTCCATTTTTTGTCTTTTAACGGTGTATTTTTAACCGTGAAATACAGAACTCTTGTCTTAAAACATCTGCATGGTGATCGCGCAGCAGCCATTTTGTTAAAAATGGATATCCGTCACTAAGGTTTCCAAATATGGTCAAAATGAATATTCACGAGCATTGGACGCGAGTTACACGTTTCAACCCCTTATGGGTTTCTGATGGGATGTAATTAGTTAATCTTAATGACAGCAAGCACCAGAGTCTAATCCTCGGTGATACAAATTATGTTTTTTTTTCTTCCCAGTAAAGGACACGTCAGAGATTTTTGGAATGGAAATAGATAATAAACTTAATTTTTCCAAACAATTATCAAATATAAGCAAAAAGGGGATTAATAATCAATTTAAAACCTTACAAATCGTAATATATATTTTACCTCATGTTTATTATTGCTCCTCTGTCTGCACTTTTGTGCGGCGCACAATGCAGATAAGCTAGAAGCGCTAAATAAAAGAAAACTCTCAGTAGTAGTACTGGTACTTTGAGATTACTAGGACCCGTCTCCAATCCATACAGCATTCTTCTTACGTGAAAAGTCAACTCTACTTCTTTGTGTGACAAGCCCGTTCAGAATTTCCTTACATTGTTGTATTTAGAGTTTGTTTTTCCACTCTTTTTCCTGCTTAAAATATGTTTTCACTCCGATCCTCCTCCTATGATATTCTTCATCTCTCAGTAAATCTAAAACAGTTTAGTTTATTTCGATACAGTTGTTCCGAAGACCATACCGATATTTGTTATTCGCCTTAACCCTTTAATCCCCAAGATCCACATACAAATTCCCCCGACTGATCTCCACCCATTTCCAATAAGAATAGTTGAGAGAATTTGGTTTAAGATCAAATCGTTCTCCCTTTGGTAATCAAATTAATAATTCTCATAACCTATACTCTTGATGATCTGAAGATGTAGTTGGGAGAAAATTGATGTTGGTCACTCTTTGGACCTATAGGGAAGTGATTTTATCCTTATCCGATCGCTATGAAATTTTCACCATTGACTGATTTGGATTTGGATCTACAGATTACCTAATTTTAATATGCTCTTTCAGCTCGTGCTAAAAAAAAATTTTTGAAACCGAACATCAAAAGTTGTTCACGTGATCAACTAATGCAAAAGGCCTAGCCCTGTCACGTTCGCGTTTGTCACACACAAGCGTTTTGCCGTCCTCTTCTTCCTGCCGTCCTGTTGCGTAAACGCACTAATAACTTTAAAAACCGTGCGCCGCAGTGACCTGAGACTTAGATATGTGGTATATTTAAAAGTCTTCTGTAACATTTCATTTTCTTGGCTTCAAGTTTATATTTTTTCATTGCGTGACAGTGCCCGCACTGAACCCACAAGATGTTAAGCGCGGCAGCTAAGCTAGAGTCAACATGGCGACCCTGATGGCGACCTTTACATTGATTTTGTTGTCCTTATAGGATCTTCATGTTGACGCGGTGACAAAATGTACAGAGTAAGTGTAACCGTAAGAGGATCATTGTTTCGTTATTGCTTTTATGTAAAGAAAAGCACAGCAAGTAGCGTACAAGGGCTTATTGACCAGCAAAGCCAAGGGAATACTGTAAAAGGTTCAGAAGGGGTAAATTTTCTGCGATCAGAAGAAAATTCATTTGCTGCCTCTAAGAGAGGTTCGTTTTTTCAAGAAGCACCAAGACTGAGGAACCAATTTAATGGCGATTTCTTCCTGCAGTCGTATTTGAGGCGGAATCTTCCCAGTGAGGTAAGGTTGGAGCTAACACACTTGCATAATCATCGTGGAGTCACTTGTGGGGTCATCCCCGGTGTAATATAATTTATTTGTTTTCTTTGTTTTATGGACTATTGTCAGGGTTAATTAGGTTCATTGTTAAGAAAGTTTTGTTTTTACGTCAGCTTTGAGTAGTAAATTATATTACACTGGAGATGAGCCACTCCTAAAAGGTACCAGAATCATGTTTTATGAACGTCTCCCAAATTCATTTCCACCCCTAAGAGGTACCAATTCAACAACAACAAATTATGTAACTGGCACTACAAATTTTAATAGTAATAAAGATAACGTTTGAACACTTTTTTCTCAAGGACTTTTTGAAAGTATTGTTATACTCTTCATCCTAATAAAGCTTATCAACTCTGGCAGCAGTCATTTTAGGTTTTTAGAACCCTAAGTGGTACCAATCCACAAATTTAAACCCCTAATAGGTACGACGAGCAGCCCTGTTACTTTTATGCATTGTGTATGTAAAATTTTAAATGTATAAGCTTACATAAATCTCTTGTCACTTAAAATTGACTTTTACACTATCACAACGTATAGGGTTTAAGCGGCCAGATTGGGTCATCTTTGTTGCAGAGGTACTAACCTCTGAAGAACTTAATTAACCAATTAAACCTGTCCCTTTATGATTGACAACTCACCCCACCATACGCCACTCCTCAATTACAATACAAACACAAATGTACTATCCATTTTCCAGGCATTGAGGCGCATTTTGTGGGCCAAAATGGAGAATTTAGCAAGCAAAAATATATTTTAGTTCAAAGTTCAAATCATGGCTGTGAAAACACAAAACAGCAAAGAAGTTGTAAATTCTCAATCTTCTCAGTAGAGGAAGAAGATCATCCATTAAGTTGGGTGATACTGGCTGGAGATTTCTGCTTGAATGCTGTGGAGTGGTAGGCCATATTAAATTTGTTTCTTTTGGACCTACCTGAACTTGTCCAATCCGGCGCGCGTAAAATAGCACCGGGGAGATGCGCTTATAAGTAAGGCTCTATGGTCACATTATGGAAGTAGTCCGTCTAGCTGATCGTGGAGCCGTGTTCCCCCCTTTACACCACATGTTTTGTTGTCATGTTTTTATTAGACTTCAATTTAAATCCTGGCTAAAGGAACTGCGACATTAATGACCCTAAATGGAACCTGATTCACTCAGTTTCCTAACCCTAATCACTTAGCTTCGACAGTGTAGTGTGTAGTCCATTCTAGGGTAGTCCATATGGGTCGTCCACGGGCTGGTCAATGGACTGGGGGTCAGTGTTTTGTCCACCACCATTGTGCTTTTGCAGGGTACCAAATTATGGGCTTATTTTGGATCTGATTTGTCATTTCCTCATTGGGGGTGGTAGAACATTTTTTTACTAAAGGTTCCACAGCTGATGACATTCAGCAGTGAAATAAAAAAAGTAGTTACAGTTTTTATTCAAAAAGCACCCGACCTCGAAGTAGCACCCACCTCGAATAAGCACCCATCCTAAAGGCAGAAAAAGTTAATAAGCACCCAGCCTCGAATAAGCACCCACCCTGCCCCACCCCACCCCCTTCCTCCTCCCAATGAGACACTTCCCCGAAGACAGAGTTTTCTTCTGGGACAGAGTAAAAACCTTACTTTGTTACATCTTCGCATTTTGTTATTACCATTTATTGTTTTGTTGCAAAATAAACATATTACACTTGCTGAAAGTGGTGGCCTCAAATAAGCGCCCGCCCTCAAGGTTGAAAAATTTAGTAAGTGCTCAGGGTGGTTAATCAAATATATATGGTAAAAGAACTTATTAATTTCCCACTTCTCATTCACAAACTAATATGTGTCCACATTATTTATTTTAAGCTGGCGTTTCAGCAAATATATCACCCAGAAGTTGTGTTTCATACAGGCAACAATTTACTTAAGTTTCCTGTCTGGGATTCAGTTGAATTTATTTCCTCCGAACAGCTGTGAATGCAAGATTTTCTCATAAGATTTTGATAAATGTGAGAGATTAGAATTTTTCATCATCAAATAAATCCTGTTAGAATATGCACTGAAGGGTTTTACAGACTCCTGCTCTGTTTACAGGTGTTACAAGAAATTAGTCCTGACTTAGAAAACTTTGGACACAGAGTTGCTACTGATATACACTCCATGGGAAAAGAGTGTGAGCTTCAACCACCAAGACTTGAATATTTTGATGCATGGGGCCAAAGAGTGGACAATATCCAGACATGTCAAGGATGGAAGCAATTACATGATGTTGCAGCTGAAGAAGGACTGATATCTATTGCTTTTGAAAGGAAATATGCCCAATGGAGGTATTCTCCTTTTTTTTGTTTACATGCTCCTAGCATTGCAATGTACATGTAAGGCAAAAGAAGTCATTTTTACGACCAGGGATCAAAGTTTACAGCCAAAGTTCACAAAGCTGAACTCAAAAAAGCGGAAAGGAGCATAGTACTCTGAACCTGTTAAATCCAGGGTACCCAATATAATACGTGAACATGTATGATTTGTATAAAAAAAGATTTTCTAGTTGCCCAGGAGCAAAAGTTGTCTCCTCGCTACTGGTCATATAAGTTAAGATTTTTGTAATGTTCATGATAAATCCCAACATATTTTTAATTTTCTTTAAATGTTATTTGTTGTCAAGTCGTTTATATCAGGCTGCAAAACTGTTTATGTTTTGCCCATCATCTGGTTTGTACTCCTGTCCACTAGCAATGACTGATGGTGCAGCCAAAACAGTTGAGGTATGAAAATTATCTCTTTTCTTTGCTTAAAAGAAACCTGTACATCAGTTACAATGGGTGTCAACTGCTTTTGTTCGGGATAATTTCTTGGTCATCATGTTGCATTTACTGTATCCTAGCTAACTCCACTAAATGGGACTGAGTAGTGTGGTTAGCGTTACATAGCTAATTTCCCATTTTCCGATGCACATCACCTAATCTCTCCAAAAGTAATGTCTTTTGAGCTTTTCTGTACTATGGTTATAATGAATTTAGCCCCATTTTTTCCCAAAACCCAAAACGTTTTCAATTCTAAAGTTCAAATTATTACTGCTTTTTGTAGCATTTTGTGCTTTTTCTTTTGACCTGCAAAGTTTTCTTCTGTCATTACAGTCATGGAAATGATTTAAGGACTGAGTCAGTCTGTGTCTTATTGCTAGGAGGGAGTGGGATGGGCTGAAAATGTGGGACTGCAAAAGAGGAAGTCTCCATTTTTCCAACTGCTACAACCATGTCTTGGTTAACCTTCAGTTGGTAGGCATTGCGGTTACCATAATTTTTCCTTCATTTAAATCGTGCATTATGTTTCCTTTAGGAAAGACTCTCAAACTTTTGACTTCCTGAATATTGTATTGACATCTGCTTAAAAATGACTTAAATGCGTAGATAGAAGTTTTTCAAAATGATATATTAATTCATTTGCCTGCAGGTTGCTGGTCTAACAAAGCAGCCTAGTATGTTACAGGATGCGTACAAGCATTTGATAAGCAGAGATCCCAAGACATTCTGGACTTCAGGCCAATGGATGACTGAGCGGAAAGGAGGTTCAGATGTTGGTAAGTGCTTACACTGCACACGTAGCAAATAACCATGAAGACAGAGAACAAAAGTGAAAGTGATGAAGGGGATTTATAAATCACTGGACTCAACATTGATAGAAAATAGTACATTTTTCCCTCTAGCATTTTGAACTTTTTGGTACTTACCGGTAATATGTTCTTTGACTGTTTTAAAGGGGCAGGTCAATAGTTTGTACTCAAAATCGATTTTTCAACATTTATTAATATGGAAGGGTACTTCCTTAAGGGCCAGTACAATATAGACTCAGTTTACTGTGAAGTTTATTAACTGAGACCCTCAAGTTTGGTACTCCCTTAAGGTAGAAGATCAGAAGCTATTCACATAAGACTTCACCGCAACAATACCCCCTGTAGGGACAGTGGAATTGAGATTCCAGAAGCATGAATGCCAGCATCCCAGTGGTACCACAGCAGACCACTGAGAAAACAGTTTCTTCCTCGGTCAATACCAGCAACTTTAGCTATGGATTGAAACCCACCAACCATGAGTGAGGTTTGGGTTACACGATTAATCACAAACAACCATGGTAGTACTAATACGTTGGTAAATCAACACCATTGCCTGATGAAAACCTGTAGTACATTTGATTTTCAAATAGCACAAAAATAATTGGTTAGACACACCCTCAGTTTTCTGGGAAGTGACTGTGGATTGCACTCTGGTACAATGTAACTGAAAGTTCACAGGAAAATGTAGGTACAGGCTAACTAGCCAAGACAAATGAAGTACAACCAGCCAGTAATCATACTAGTTCTTCATATTTTTGTAGCAAATGGCACAGAGACAATAGCAGTTCCCCAGGGTGATGGCAGCACCTACAGACTGTTTGGTTACAAGTGGTTTAGCTCAGCTACTGATGCTGATATAACTCTTACGCTGGCTAGAGTACAGAACCCTGATGGAACAACACAACCTGTAAGTATTGCATCTGCCTATCCAAGGTTCCAGCAAGTTTTTTTTTATTGTCTTCGCCACGTGGATTTAACAGTTACATTCACCACTTGCATATTTCCCAAAATGCACCTTGTTTGCCCCCCAAAATTTTGCACAAGCATTTTTTTCAATTTCTCGTGGGACGGCTGTAATACCTAGGAGAAATGAGAAACAAAGGTTAAGCAAAATTTCGGTGGACAAACAAGGTATATTATGGGAGATGTGCTTTCTTTTGGCGTTAGAGGAGGTATAAACAGTTAAAGATCAAGTTGTCGTGGGATATATATTTTGCTCTTTCACCATCTTCATTTTTTTCTTGATTAACTCTTAGGGCCAGTTATTTAAACGGGGTTTAGCCAGTGTTAAACAAAACCCCGTTCTAAGCCATTTTCAGTTTGCCGAACGCTTTAATATAAACACCATTTATCGTAGACTAGAAAAGCATTTGTCTTCTTAAAATAACCCACTGATGAAGAGATCTGGTAGTCCAAAGTTTTCTTAAACCGCGGTTCAAGTTAGACTTTGTATAAATAACCGACCCTTAGGTTTTTCAAACCTTTATTAATCGGCCTTATAGGTAATTAAGAAAGCAAAAGTAACGTGTTTTGTGTGTTTGTGTTTTTTCAGGGAACCAAGGGCCTCACCATGTTTTTTATGCGGACACGAAATAAAGATGGGACATTGAATAACATCGAAATTCAGGTAGTGTTTAGGCTCAATAGAACTTTCCACGTTTTTTTTTTAACTTTGACGTGGACCAGTTAAGGAAAATCCGTCAACATCGCTGGAAAAAGTGCCTTTAAATTAGTAGAGTTGCAAAGTTTGAAAGTGATTTCTTGACAACCAACGAAGATAAAGCCCCTCAAAGTAGGGAAATTTTAAAGACGTTTGTATGGTGGGGGGTAAAAACTTGCTCCTCCCCCCTCACCCCACCATAAAAACGTTGATACATTTTCGAGTGTGGCGTGACGTATCACCTTCAAACTTGGCAATGGTACTAATTTAAAGGCGTTTTTTACAGTGGCGTCGACGGATTTTCCATAACTTGTCCATGTCAAAAGTTGAAAAAGAAGGAAAAAACCGTGGAAGGTTTTATTGCATTAAATCATCTTTAGATTTATACAGGGCTCTTACTATTGTTCTAGCCTGTACCAGGCTCCGAGGGTTGCGAGATAGTCGGGTCCGCTGAATTGAGAAAGCGCGAACATGACAATAAAACGGGAGGAACCTGGGAGAGCTAGGGCGGGGGAGCCTGTAATCATTTCTTTAAACGAGCCGTTCGGGGATACCAGCTCCTGGTATACCCTCTGATTGGTCAGATTTGACAGATTATATCAACACTCTCAAAGCGGGTCGTTCCTGTCACTCAGAAAGATGGCGTGCGGCGTCCACTGCGCGTGAAATTGAGGGATCCACGATAACTTCTGTTTTGAACGAATGTTTACGAGATTTCCTGCAAATAGGAGCGCTGAGGAACAGAAGACCTGCCTTGTAAACTTGGCACGTGGAAAACATATTTTTGCAATCCTGCCGACCGGCTTCGGTCCTGCCTGATAACGAAGTGGCAATAACAGAACAGTCACAAGAAGGATTTCTTTACGCGCTCCAGTCCAGGGTCGTAAAAGAAATGATTACAGGCCCTCCTTCCTTTTTCCTTTCTCCCGCCTCGCCAACTTTTCGCGTGCCTTTTTCTTTCGCCTTTTTGCCCACTGTTTGAGAGCCTGGAACAAGTTGGTATTGTTCTGGAAGAATAATTTCTTTTCTTTGGCCTTGGTTAGATGGTCTGCGGCCTTTTCGGCAGGTAATTTCTGTGGGAGAAAAAGCATGAAAATGAGATTGGGAGCTAGTTCGTTCTTTTGGCCAAATGCTCACTCCACTGATGGCACTATCCTTTTTTTCATACGCAAACGTACGGAAAGGTTGCTCACCCATAAACACTTGGGCCTGTTATCGAAGAGCTCATAGCTATGTGTTTCTCACCAGTACTATTGATTATTTTGTAGAGACTGAAAAATAAACTGGGTACAAGACAGCTGCCAACTGCTGAACTTCTTCTTCACGGATCGCTGGCTCACAAGGTAAAGAATGTGGCGAATGTAGCTGTTGAATCCGTAATCGAGGCGAAGACAATAAAAAAGAACTTGCTGGGACCTTAGATAAGGTGCCCACAAGAGGTGATCACTTAATGCACTGTTTACAGTACTTTAGGGGAACTATTTTCGGGATTTTGGGAAGTCACTGCTTAATTGACTGCATTGTAGCACCAACTTACAGGTAAGGCAGATGCAGTACTTACAGGTTGTGTTGCCTCATCAGGGTTCTGTACGTTAGAAAAGAAAGGAAAGCAGGGGCGGATCTAGGGGGAGGGTGCAGGGGGGTGCGCACCCCCCCCCCCTCCGTGAGATGACCTGCGGTTTTCTAATACAACTGGTATTCTGCAAAAAAAAACTATGTGGTTTATTGGTGTTGAAGTAGAGCAAGAGACGAGTGCACCCCCTCCTAAAAAAAATCCTGGATCCGCCCCTGGAAAGGAATACTAACTGTCTGTTAATAACCCCAATCCTCACATTTCTCTCACCTTATCATATTCCCGTTCAGTGTTGAGAATTTTAGGACGGATGTTATTATCTCGTTCACGTCCTCCTCAGTATTCAGAACACGTTTTAGGTGACATGTGAATTTGTCAACATTTAATTCCTTGCTTTTTTGCCATGGATTCAAAATGGCAAATTTGGTATATATCAAGTTCGAATGTTATTATTATCGTCCTGTTTTGTTGGATTCAAAGGAATCTCTCGTCCCTGAGCCCAGTTTAACGTCTATGTAAGCTGAGAAAACAGCGGACATTTCGTGAGGCTACGACTGGTTTCCTCGCGAAATGCTTTCTGAGGATCTGGGTAGTGATACGTCATCAGTATGAAATTTTTTTTGCGTTCGTTCTCCAGTTGGTGGCGTCACGCAATGTCGGCGTTTTTCTTCAGGCTAACGTATTATATGTTCCGGCTCAATGTTATCCCTGGTTTATGTTTACAGTCGAACCTTTATATAACGGCCCTGTATTAAGCGGCCAGTTTTCAAAGTCCCGATTTTTCGCTCATACAAACGCTGTATTTGTTACCTGTATTAGGCGGCCACCTCTATTAAGCGGCCGCGGCCACCCTGTAGCAGTCCTATCAGTTTGTCTTTCTTTGTTATTTTGCTCGCAGGCTATCAAGTCCCGAGGGTGGCCGTTATATAAAGGTTCGACTGTATTTTCCTTTGTTTTAAACTCCAAAGCAAGGCAAAATGAAAGTTTAAAACAAGGATAAAATTGAACCACAGCACCTATATTAGCTATGACATCCGTTAAAAACACCCACGTTCAAAATTGCTACATTAAATTGCTTGTTTTGTTGAATATTCCTAGATGTCTGAAGAAGGCCGTGGAGTACCCTGCATCTCCGACATGTTAACAGTAACGCGCTTTCACAACAGTATATCTGCAGCTGGAATTATGAGAAGGTAAAAAAAAATACTCTCCTTTGTTTCTGGTGCGTTGTTGTTGTTATGTATTCTGTTGAGCATTCAGTGCTGTGTCTTTTTCCCATGTTACTTTCAGAATCCTTTCATTTCAGGATTATGACTCTGGCTCAGGATTACTGTGTTAGAAGATCAGTATTTGGTAAATTACTGGTAAACCATCCTCTTCATATGCAGACACTGGCTAGAATGGAGGTAACATGTTTCACTTGCCGCCTTGTATATGTTGTAGTTAATTTTTATTTTTCTGTTGTTTTTGGGTATGGAAATGCAGCTAATGAATTTGAGACAACGGAAAAATAAAAATTGACTGAATAATCTAAATTCATACTGGGCTTCGAGGATGAAGGGTATAAAACAATCCCTGAATCGCAATACAATGCAATTTTCTTACGTTGTTATCCCCTCAACCTCGGAGCCAAGTATGAATTTCAACGATTAAAATAATTCGAGACTGGCTTATTACACAGCTTGTCCAACATAGTGACACGTGCGCGCAGACTTAGTATCCTGGTGAGGGTTGAAGATAAACGCCGTACTGTCAAGCTTTAATTCTACTGAGAGTTTAATTTTGTTTTTGATCAGGTGGAGACCCGTGCAGCCTTTCTACTCACAATGGAGGTCGCTCTTCTGCTTGGTAAACAGGAGTGTAATGTGTCCTCAGATGAAGAGGTGCATCTTTTGAGACTCTTAACACCAATCGCAAAACTGTACACCGCAAAACAGGTGAGTCAGGTACAAACACCGGATTCTGAGCGTGAAAATAGTGTTAATTGATTGTGCTCGCGAGGCGCCCAAATGTCCCTTTCCCCTTGTAACGCGTGCCACGCAGACTAACTCTTTTAGGGAACTGTTAAATAAGCAAGGATCCTATCATTTGTTTCCAGTCCATGCAGGTGACCTCAGAAGGCTTAGAGAGTTTTGGTGGCCAAGGGTACATAGAGGACACAGGTTTACCAGGTTTAATGAGAGATGCACAGGTAACGCAAGTTATAGCAGACAGTGCGTACCGTTCTGAAGGCTTGACGCTTTTATTTTGCAAATTTTTCAGTGTAACTACATTTGACTTACTGTATTTTTAAGGTATTGCCTATCTGGGAAGGAACAACCAACGTTCTGTCATTAGATGTACTTAGATCCGTGTTCAAAAGCGAAGGACGGGTAAAGTGCTGTTAATGCTTACATTAGAGGCCTTTTGTTTTGAAGACGAGAACGACTACGAGTACGAGGTTTTATTTAAAGTTTTTTCGCGTATTGTCAAGAATAGGCCGCAAGGAATGTTTCATTGTATATATATATATTTTTTTTCACCAGAAAAGCTAGCACTGTTATCTTTATTGAAGGAGGTTAAGCCCTCTCCTGATCGAAACATGATAAAACTTGAAACTTTTGATAACTTGTTTCCCCGAGTCCGCCATTACGACATTCTCTCAATCAAAGCCAGGGAATTGAAAGCTGAGAGTATACGGTCCCAACAGACCGTTCGCAGTATGAACGGGACCTAAAACGCCTAGCAGTAGAATGACGACGGCTACCTCGTTTTCCCGCCAAAATGACGCTGGCTCACCCGCGAGCACAACTTAGCACTGAGAAAATGTCGTACTCGTAGTCTCACTTGTCTTAGAATCTAAAGGTCTCTCTTAATTTCATCTGAACAACGAGCTTTTGCTGTGCCTTTCTAATGACAGGGAAAGTTAAAACGCTAGTGGGCAGAGTAGGACAAACACCCAGGGTGTTGAAAGGGCAAAAGTACTGCCTTTGCTTTGCAAGAAACCCTCTACTTATCCAGCCACGCATTTTTTGTTTTTGTTTTTGCACTTTCCATCGGATACCGGACTTTCTCGCCCAATGCCCGATACGGGCACAAAGCTGCCATTCTAAGCGGTCACACCATTCCACCTGACGTTCTAGCCGGGGGTGTGCAAAGCAAAGGTAGTACTTTTGGTCTTTCAACACCCTGGGTGTTTGTCCTACTCAGCCCACTAACGTTTTAACGTGTCCTGTCATTGTAGCCGGTTTTTTCGGCCGTTTACTTGTCTCACGAGTCAGCAAAAACTGTATACGGGACTGTCTGCCCATTCTGAGAAGTAGTGATTCAACATTAGATTACCTTGACTTCTTGACTTCACAGGTCTTGAAGGCATTCCACGCTTGTGTGTCGGAAAAGCTGTCAAAGGCATCCTCATCCTGCCCTGCTCTGAAGAGTTTATGTGAACAAGTTCAATCTTCAATGAACAGTCTGCTGTCTCCCAGAAACCACGAGCTACTCTCTGACTCGCTACTAGCGCGTGATGTGGCTTTTAGCTTGGGAAGGATCTACATAGGTATGCTGTGTAACTACCCCAGTTTGTTGTTGTTGTTGTTGTTTTTGCATCACTTATACGATTAATCTGTTTACACTACGAGTAAACCGAGCTAACTATGATTCTCCTTTCTCTCTGGTATCGTTTTTCACGCGCACTTTGTTCCCTGAGAAAATAAGGTAGTGTATATATACTCCGTAACAATTTCACTGAAAGCTTTACGATTTCTTATTTACACTCTATGAGAGTGTTTGTTCACAATCCCCAATTTTTCCGTGTGAAGATAGATTGTCGAGATGGTCAATCGCTGCATTCAAGAGGCCACTGTCGACGGTAAAACTCATATCAAAACCAACCCCATATTAAGCGTACACTCTTCGTTAAGTGGACGAGTGGGTTAGTTTGTTTCGAACATTTTTCCCATAATTTCTGGCACAACGAAACTTTGTTTAGCGGACCGCTCTATCAGGGGACAGCAGCGAAGTTTCCGTAAGTTTCTAGCATCCCACCCCAGTGGATTACTTAAAAAAGTTTCAAACAGGGAGGTTCCGGCCCGAGGTCCAACCCCTTACCCTCTTATAATACCATTTTTTGTCAGAAAAATGTATCCCTTTCCTTTTCGTTCCATCAATAAATGGTACCCCTTTCACAGACCTAGTTTAGAACTTTGCATCCCCTTTAACTGCTAATATGTATTGTCTTTAAAGAATGATTAAATCTCAAAGCCAGAACGTTTTCTCGTCTCCTTCAAAGCCATAAAATGCATCTAGTAGCTCTATTGGGCCTTTTTACCCACCGAAACGATACATTTCCCTACCCTTTCAAATACTTCAACAAGTGAATTTAGTTTTCTCCTAAAATTTGATTGCTATTTCTTCCAGCGTCGTTATTTGTCGAGCATGCTTCATGGAAAGAGGCCAATGAAAGAGATATTGAAGCCGCCAAAAGGTAGGATAATAATAAAACTGTAAGTCAACGGTAAATTTGTTAAGAATGAATGGTTCAAAGCAGAATTAAAAGAAACATTTTTATAAACCTTTAGGTGGTGTCACCAAGACTTGACCCCAGTCCTTACGCAACTCAGAAACAACGCGTACGGCGCTAAGAGTTCTGCTTGTGACCTGGCACTGGTTATGGAGGGACATCCGGAGTTAGTCATTTAAGAAATGTGACGATCTTTTATTAAAACACAAGCTTGTGACAGCAACTCCCATTTCTCTCACGTCCATGAACATACTGAAAAAATCTTCGGCCCTCCTCACGTGTAAGTAGGAGACAACAACTGAAGATGAACATCTACTACTGTACTTACCGATTTACTCAGCTACTTGCTTAGCTGCCATGAGCCGAGTAGCTACCTATTTATGTAACTTTATTGACTTGGTTATTGCCTCATTCATATCTACGTACGTGCCAAGCCGCTTCCGTCTCGGTTATATTCGACTTCGCCTTTGAAATGTGAGCAACACATGTTACAAACTCCTTTTGGCTACATCATGGATAATAGAAAGACTGGCTACATGTAGGATTAGCCAAACTAAACACGTCATTTGGCCATAACAGTAAAGAAAAGTATTTTGCCGCATGTCATGAACACGTAAAATTTGTGGCTATCAATTGGCTAGAGTTTTTACTGTGCCATATCCTCAAACTTTTGTTATTTGTATTGACGGTTCAAGCTTTCTCGCTATAATATAGCAGGCTGTCTCATTCTTGTATAATTCTGAGAGAAAACGTTTTTTTCTTTTGAAGGAAACTGAATTTACAATGGACTTTATAAGTAATATATGTTAACTGCACAGTAAGATCAAATGAAGTGGATATTTTTTTAATATTGAAGCCCATATATTTATCTCGACCGGTTAATTTATTACTTTAGTACGTATGTTCTACCAGTTGCATGGTAATATAAGTACTTGTCTGGAAAAAAAAACAGGATTGCCTCTGTGCCTCTCTTTCATCACCTTCTCAAGTGGGAGGAAAAATCGTTTTAAATGTCGAGAAAAAAAAATGTCACGGTGTATAGAATTGTTGTACAAAAGAATGCTTGGGAAAGTAAATTCTTATAAGTTACAACATGAAATACTTATAAGTTTCAAATTCTTATAATTCTTATAAGTTACAGAAAAGCCATGTGAATATAAGCATGGATTTTGCGCGCTCACATCCAAACAGATAATATTGCCTTTAGCATGAGGGCACTTTATACATATCGTTGACTGGGTTGAGATTTATTTTAAGTAATTATATTTGTTTGGAGGGACGATGATTAAAGAAGATGTACGCATGCCTGTTGTGGAGGTGACCGCTGGCCAACAGTCACTGTACAAATCATGCGTGGTGTAGGGCAGGGAAAAACCAAGAAAGTACAAGCGGACACCTTGTTTTGTCCTGGAGCTGTTCACAGCTACCTCTTCCCCGTCCCCACAGCTATATGCACTTTCTTAGTTTTCGCTTGTCTTGTTAAGATGGAGTTTGCAGTCACGAATTCGCCGTTTAAAGGTCTTTAAATATTAACAATTTGAGTTTGAGAGCAGTGTAGTGAATGCGTACTAGTCCCATTCAAAGGAAGTTTTTGTAGTTATAAAGGTTTTCAGGATTTATTGTATCAAAGGCAAGATTAAAAAGATAGAGCAAATGCTGAGTTGTTAAAGTTGTCATGTAATTATATATTTGAACTTTATAATAAGGATAGACCTTGCAAAATTCTCTTTATCGAGAATTTTCTTGTTAAATAGCGCTAAAATCACGATATTAGAGGTCTAGGTTTGGTAGCAACTACATCTCAAGACCAGCAACAGAATTTTCCAAAAATTCCCTTTTTATTGTGATATATAAAATATATTCAGTTTAAATACTATTTATTACAAGGTACCCATGCTATTAAAAAGTCATGCTTTTCATTTCAGTTTCATTTAAAATTCTTTTTCTTTGTTTCCTTTCCCTCCCTTATTTTTGAAAACATCACTGATTGAAACCAACGTTGATTCACCCGATCAGTTAACAAATGACGGAAATCAGGTAAAAAAGTGGACAAAGTTCAGAAAAACGTTTGTTCGAGAAATCGTGCGGTCATTCCAAACGAGTTAAACAGACGCGTGCAAGCAGCTCCTTATTGGCTAGTTCAGAGCACATTTCTTTTTTCGATAAGTTAGAATGAGCCAAAAAAAACCCCAGAAAATTAATGTTGAAGGTTAAAACAAGGCAAATTGAAAACCTCTTATTGCGACAGTTAATATAATGCTTTCACTATCATATAGCTTTCCGCATCCTAAATCTGCGTCTTGTAGGCAATACCATAGTATTTCGTTTTGGAGCCGGCAATTTTTATCACATCGTTTAAGAGTAGCCTGAATTTCAGACATTCCCTCGAGTCGCATACTCCTCTCGCTGCTGAGAGAAGTACAAAACAAAATAATCACTGACGATAAGTTTGTTACAGCGCGAATTTTCTTTTTGAGCGACGTTTTTGCTGACGTCGCTGTCGTAGGTACGTAAGCTAGTCATTGATTTACTAAGTCTATAAAGTGCTTTATCGATGCTTAGCCATGACGCAACAATGCTTTGGGCACCAGCTCATACAAAATCGTTCACAGGTCACGGAGCACTGACTTATCAATGGCCGAGACTGCTGACCAGGTGACCGCGGAAGATAGCTCCTAATAACTGGAGCAATGTGCTGTGTACGATGATCTAAAAGGAAAAGAAATAATGAGATTTTAAAAATATTTGATGGTAGAGCATGTGCAATAGCTGTTTTAGGCATTTAGAGCGCTGTCGGCGCAGGTTAAATAGCAGGGGCACCCTTTCTAGTGCAAATTAGGGCTTTTGTTATTTAAACCTTGCTGGGATTACCAAATTTAAATATGAAAAGAAAAACGAAAAGGATTCTGGCCGTAGTAGTAAAATGGCCCATTATTGTCAGTATAATTTCAAGATTTCATTGGCTTTTTGTTTTGCTTGTTTGCTTGTTTGTTTGTTTTCCTTCCATACTTATAATCCTGACCATCTCTGCTATCAGTGCCTTTGTCTGAGGGTTTAGTTCATACGGTAAAGGCCTTAATAGCTGTGTGTTTTAAAAATCTGGAAAATATTTACCCTGCCACGGTTGTTTTTACTTTTTACATGGGTTAATTAGAGAAAATCCGTCAGCACTACTGGAAAAAGCGCCTTTAAATCGGTAAAATTGCCAAGTTTGAAAGTGGTTTGTTAAAAATTAACGAAGATATAGCTCCTTAAAGTCGCGAAATTGTACAGGTGTTTGTATGGTGGGGGGAGTGGGGGGGGGGGGGGGGGGGGGGGGGGGGGGACTTGCCCCCCACCATACCATACAAACATCTGTAAATTTTCACGACTTTTCACGGCGATATATCTTCGCTCGCTCAACACGTATTACTTTCAAACTTGGCAATTTTGCTAAATTTTAGGCGCTCTTGCCAGTGGTGTCAACAGATTTTCCGTAACTTTTCCATGTCAAAAGTGGAAAGAACCGTGGAAGGGTTTATTATGCTTACAAGATTTAGGTGCTCCTAACGTTACGGTTTGCAAAGTCGCGTGCTAGGAATAAAATTTTGAACCTAGCAGATAGTGTAGACTTTCTCACGTACCTGTTGGTTGACAATAACCCCATTTTTTCTCCTTGTCAAAGTTGGGCGTTGTTGCGCACCAAGAACGTTGAGTCTGTGGGTCAAGCAGACAGCGGCTTACCGCAGCTCCGCGGTATACAAAAGGAAGCGCACAACATTTTCCACCGTACGTGCTGAGACATGGTGTTACTGAAAGTTTTAAAAGATTATCACTGACACAAACATGCCAGACACCTCAGCGATAGTGATAATGATAACCCTCGGTGATATTTACAAATAATTGACATCAAACTTAACAGGGTTGAGAGTCCCAACTGGCCGGAGGCAAACCAGGTGGCTATTTACTAGCGTGGCCGAGGGTATGAACTCGGGACTACCGAGAACAAATTCAGCACTGCACGCGGTAAGGACAAGGCTGGGCCTTGAACTCGGGGCTTCCGAATTGCAATTCCAGCGCTCTAACGCTCGGACTTTGACTGTAAAAATTTTTTACACTTTATTTTAGGTGATGTATAGATTTCTCATTCCGCGTTGCCATTAAACAAACAAACAAGACAAGACAAGCCAAACAAACAGAAAACATCTTACCTGGGCATGGCGTCTGTATGCATGTCCTTGTCTCTAGAGTCTTTCCACTGCAGATCTTTCCTGGCAGACAGTAGCGTGTTCTTGTTTGTATACTCCTTCCACAAGTTGCCGCACATAATCCAAAAGCGGTCCATTGTGAAAAGTTCTCGTCTCCTCTGACAGCTTTCCTTGCTGCTTCTCTTGATCCTTCGTACTCATCTGCTGCGCGAAGATGTTCAATTTCTGCCGGGAGTTCAGTCAGTTATCTTAGGATGCGATTTTAAATCAGTATTACATCCCAATATGCCACGAAATACAATTTCGTGTTTGGAATCCATCTCACAGGGCGATTTCGTGCCGTGCTTCGGCTAGGAGCGACAGTAGATTTCATAAAGAATTGACGTGACTTTTTAAAGATTAAAAAAGGTAAAGGCGCAAACGAGCACCGAAGCTTATCCCGGTTTCCTTAGCATAAAGCATGCCTAGGAGTATTACTACTCCCCCTTGGACGGGATGGATGCTAGTTCATCGCAGGGTTGTGACTTTTTAATCTCAGTGTTTTACTGCCTGCTAGAGTCTTTGCTTTTCTTCCATTTTCAAGTACAATATAATAATGACAAAGTGGTTTATAAGTGCAAAACGCATTAAAGGAATCGTCGGGGGAAAAGCGTGTCGATATAATTAAGCGCTGTTTCAAACTTTATTGCTCCAGTCTTCCATTTCATACAATTTGTTTATTGTTGGGAAATTCTTCTGGAGTTGATTCTAAAGGACGGTATCTAAGTTCAGAAAAGAAAAAGAAGATCGTTGTCTTGCGTTTTCACGTCTTCCATAAAAAGTGAAACTAGGAAGTTTCACGTCGTAGTTGTGCAACGACGGTAAAGAAATGTACAAAAAAGCGTGATGCCGACGTGCAAAGTTGTTAAGTTGCCAATCTAGACCTATTGCTTTTTGCCGTTTTCGTTGCGGTCGCCGTTGTCATTGCTCAAGCTCCCATCACATGGGTTAGAATCAGTATGGGATTCTGGGAACTCTCCACACCTACCCATCCCTTAAGTCCTTTGGAAGTTAGGGGAGGGGTAGGTGTGCAGTTTCCAAGTCTTCCGTTGTTACCCACCGTCGTTTGATATTTGTCCATGATGTGACAGCAACACAGTCCTGAATGGCAGGTCACATCCTCCTGGCGTGACAGCGATTGCGTTATTATTGTTTAGCATCACCTCGTTGTCTTTATCATCGGCGTCACGCGCGTAGAAGATCACGTGATGGTGCTTGTGCGGGTGTTTAAAGACAGTCTTGAGTTTAAAGGTCTCTGCAGTGATGAGGTAGCCTCCCAGCTTCATGCTAGACACCAGTTGGATGGGCTTGCGAACTTTATTGATGAATTTAAGACTGATGCATTTGTCTGAGGAGAGAAATAACTTAACCTGTTCTTACAGCTCTCAAAGTAAAGTGGGTCTCCTCATGGAAAATTCAAATATTTTCATAAATCATTCAAATGCTTTGCTCACTACGGGTAAATCCTTTTACCAAAAAATAAACTTTGAACATTTTTGCATTTCTAGAGTTTTCTTAAGGTAACTTTTTACAGTGGTTGTTATGATAAATGTATTGTATTGTAGCCTGCGTTTGGGGGAGTCGCGAGTAGTCACGCGAGGGAACTCGCGGCGCTTGCCGTGTAAAATGGAGCAAAAATTATTTATTCTCATACGAACATAAAAATCGTGTTGAAACGCCAAAACAAAATGATTCCCTATATTGAATAAGAACAAACTAGGCCACAGAATAATTGTTTTTGTGACCTGGTCGGACAAGTAATCATTTAGAGTGAAAAAGAATAGATGTCGTCGATTTGCGACCTTGTTTTTGTAGTTTCTCTCACCTTGTTTATCTAAATCTTTACTGTCATTGTCTAGGTTTTCGCTGGTTTTATGCCGGAAATTTTGCGCTATTCCCTGTGTATTATGCTGATACTGAACTCTGTTTCCTTCTAAGCTCTGCTTTCCAACGGAGGCTTTTCCCTCCCACTCGGATCTTGTGGGATGCTGATAATTGTAACCTCTGTACAGCATTGGAAATTGTGTGTATGGAAATTGTGTCTGCACGCCGGGACTTTTAACTGCGAACTGTTGCAATGGTCTTCCTGAACGTACGGGCATATTTATGAAATTAGGGCCAAGAGGGCTTGCTTGAGGGGAGATGTGATGACTGATAGGTTTTGTTCGCAGGGCCATTTGTTGATTTAGGTAAGGCAAAGGCTGGCGAAATTCCTGAGGTTGCGGTCTTTGTTGATGTTGTGGTTTATGTAAAAAAGGTAAACCAGCAGCCCCTTTTGTGTAGTGCTGCCCCATTTGTTGTGTTCCCTGTCGACCGTTTTTCAATGCGGCGTTTTGAAAAAGTCCTAAGGCCTTGGCTGTAATCTGTGCCAGTTGACCAGGAAGTGACAACTGAGCTGGACCAGAAAGGTTTGGACTGTCAGTCGGAAATTCGAAATGAAGATCAAACTGCTTTGGTCCATTTTTATTTAGCGCTAGTGGATGCTGACCACTCACACTCTTTTGCTGATGATTTAACTTTGTTAACGCAGGACCTCCTAATTTTCCCAGGTTTGAATTCTGCGCTGTACTAAGTCCCATCTGGGCTGGTTGTTTCGCAGCCATAAACGCACCCTGTAAAGCGTTTTGCAAATCGTCTGCCACTGATCCCTCTGCTGTAGACCCAGAAACTGGATTCTTTTGTTTCACCCCCACGTCTTTGTTGCTATTATTTTTTGTACTTTGCGAAAGTCCCACGGAAGGATCCTGAACTTTTTTCTTGTCCGTTTGCAACGGCTGTTTTCCTTTTTGGCCACCAGCCATACCATTCGTCTCTTTTTGCAAACCCGTCTTCGACATTGGCGTGTTTTGTGGGAAATTTGTTACAAGTGGGTCTGTCAAAGTTTTCTGGTCATTTAGTGGTTTACTGGCGTTAGAATAGGTTGCTTTCTTCGTAGAATTCGCAACTGCTTTATTTACCAACGTTTTATCCATAGTTTTGGTCGCGGTGGTGTTTCCGAACGAGGTGGAATTTAATAGCGGTTTAGACGATGCTTGATCGTTTTTAACTGTCCCATTTTTCTTGCTCAAAACACGTCCTATAGTTTTATCAACTGGATTTGCGGTCCCATTTCCAACAACGAGTTGTTTCGCTAAATTTTTCACTGAAACGTCGTTAGAAATAATGTCCGTGATGTTGTGAATACTTTCCCTTGAGGATGCGTCTTCTTCTTTCATAGTCTTCCCCACAAAGCTCTTCTTGCGAGTTGGATTTTGTGCCACAACCATATATAAACATCCTACGAGAAACTCATTGCTTCCTATTCCGAGCTTCTTTGCAACGAGACCAAATTTGCTTTTGGTATCATGACACATGAACCAGCCTGGATGATTGAAAAGTTCGTAAGCAGATGCTCCTTTAGTTTGAGTCTTTCTTTCGATGAATGTCGAATCTTTCTCTGGAATGAAAATTCGGGTATTTTGTCAGTATAATTCAGTTCCTAGTACTAACTTTCACTGACCATTACGCGACCTTCAAAATTAACCTGATTCACTTGTAGAAAATAGGCTTTCGTTAACTGATCAAATAGATTGTTCAAAGACCATATTTTATCGTAATATCATCGAGCGCTTACCGGTATGGGCGGCCATCTTAACATGGCCGCCTGTAACGCATAGCGCTCGATCTCGACGATCACACGGAAAAATAGAGGAATGTGCTTAGTCTATTGATGAAACGATGCAAAAAACGGCTTTACTTTCTTGTCCAACTTAAATTTTGCTTTTACTTTTTTACTGTGTCGACCCAAATCGTCCGTTTTTCACATAACTTTTATTTTATTTTGTGAGGATTTTGTTTTTTGTTTGTTTGTTTTGTTTTAAGGAACGGAATTCACTTTTGTAAATGTGTAATTCAGCTTAAAGGCTGTGAGATATTTACTCTAAAATTAAAACTTTTTAAAAAATATCTTTCTTAGATCTAAAAGAAGAGAAGTCGAGAAAATCGAAGTGGTGTAGAAAGCTGGAAAAAAGAATTAAGCGTAGCACGATCTCAGCGAAATTATTCTGCTTTTGTGAATTTAAAGAGCTGCAACAGTCGTTTACGTAACGCACCGTATTTCACCAAGTGTCTTAGGCCCGTTTCAAACATCGTGCTACTGCCGTGGCGAACTAAACTGATACAATTAAATTCGACTTTAGCACGGCAGTAGCGCGACGTTTGAAACCAAGTCGTGCTACTGCCGTGTAGCACGGCAAGCTTTGCCATGGTACACGGCAGTAGCTCGACTTGGTTTCAAACGTCGTGCTTCTGCCGTGCCGAACTCAATTCATAAATTAGAAATACATTAAAGTACATTTAAAAGTTTGCCTAACCGTTTCTTTATTTTTGTGTTTTTTTTTCGGCAACAGCCGTTCTATTCGACTGAATTAAATGCGACGTCTGAAACCAAGTCGTGCTAGTGTCGTGCTGCAGTCGAGCTACAATCGAGCCAGCTTAGCAAGGCAGTAGCACGACGTTTGAAACAGGCCTTACCAAAAACTCCCGAGGGATTCGCCTTTTCCAAATGAAACTTGTAATTCTTGTATCGTAGATAAAGTCCCGGATCTGCAGCGGATTCCAGTGAAACACTTCCAGGCACGTGCTCGAACCCAGGCCTATGAAAGCGGAACTCGTCCGCATATTCACCCAGGGAGGCTGATTTTTGGTCGGCCATGAGACCTTTTCCGGTATCCGGCGGCATCGAGATACCCCCGAGATCTTTTTTCTCAACAGGAGATGGGAACAACTTCACTACTGTAAAGTTTCTGCTGGCTGAAAAGAATTGAAAAACAACACCTTTATTTTTGATCTAAGACTGTAAGTGAAATCCCCAAGGGTAATCATTCAAATGAACTGAGAGGCTACATAACTTTACTGTGCTTCCCTTTTACTATACTCAAGATGATTGCAACTTTCGAGTCTGTGAGTAAAAGTTTGGGGTGTGGCCATTCAAATGAAAGCTACCGAGCAGACCTTTTCAGTAGTACTGTTTATTATGCTTTTCCAAGAAGTTCGTACTTTAAGTCTGTGAATGAAGAGTATAATCATATCAAGCAAACAACAAAGCAGGCTGAGAGGGTTTAGTGCTTGTTTTTATAGGAAAAAAAGTGCTGTGATATTTCCACTCACAAATGGGTATTTATAATGCAAGTGGTTTCTTATTTTTTTTCAAGAATGGTTGGTTGCTGGAAGTCATCTAAACGTAAATACAGTCAAACCTCGTTTTACGGACCCCTGCACCCGCTTAATATGGACACCTCATTATTCTGGACAGTTTGCTTTGCCGCTCGGGAAAGAAAGCCCTCGCCTTTTCTCTAAATTCAACCCGGCTTAATACTGATAGGTTATTAAGGACATTTCTCCTTGTCCCTAGCTCTTACATTTTAAATTCAACTCGCTTAATACGGACACTTCTATGCCCCCCCCCCCCCCCCCCCCCCCCCCCCCCCCCCCCCCAGGACCCCCTCACCCGCTTAATATGGGACCCTCATTATTCTGGGCAGTTTGCTTTGCCGCTCGGGAAAGAAAGCCCTCCCCTTTTCTCTAAATTCACCCCGGCTTAATACTGATAGGTTATTAAGGACATTTCCCCTTGTCCCTAGCTCTTACATTTTAAATTCAACCCGCTTAATACGGACACTTCTATGCCCCCCCCCCCCCCCCCCCCCACCCCCAAGTGTCCGTATTAACAGGGTTTAACTGATTTACCAACCTTGAAATGCAGTGCGGCGAGCAGCAATCTAGCACCTTCATCGCGCTCATGTGTTACAATTAGCGCATTTGAAATAATGTGATACGATCTTTTAAAGTCTTCTTTTAAGACAATCTGATATTCGTTGCCTTGGATTTTCCTTATTAGTGCTAAGTGATTGACTGACAGGCATGCGCAAAGAACCAGTCAGGTCATCCCCTAAGTCATCCCCTCAAAATGTTTTTGACTGTTTTTACTTGTACTATTGTTTAAAAAGAAAGTGAAAACGTTCCAGAAACTGCACGCAGATTTTCCAACTTTCTCACTGTAAGGTTTCGATAAGATCCTAGCTAATCAGTAGGAAATTAATAAAGAATCGTCTCACTGGTTTTCCGTTTTCGGTGATCACGGTTTTGCTACTTAGGCAAATTACTGTTGGGTAACGACGCATGCATGCTCATTTTTAAGCAGAAACAAGAAGCCCGCAACGTGTTTAATGACCTCCCTCGCGCCTATATTCTTCCTAGTAACTCTTCAACGTGCGCGTTTAATGTTGCGCTAAAATCGTCGTTGCGAATCGTCTGGTTTAAATACTATTTGTAGCACAGCAGTCGTCCTTTTGGCTCTTGGTTTACAGACGGGCATTAAAATATGTGAACCTTTTGTCCGCCAAACAAAAGTAAAACATGATTGAAAATGTTTCTTTTTTTTTTCTCTTTTGCATGATCAAACGCAAAGTTTAAATGTTTACAACGAATCTGATTCCTGGTAAATCTCAATTGTAGTTTTTGTTCCGTTTTCTGTTTCTTTTGATAGAGTTAATTCTTTTAAAAACACGTCTGATCACGCGTTTCATTTACACAGTGTTTGCTAGTGTTCTGTGAAACAAAACGACAACCTGCAAAAATATTGGGGCGTTATATCTGTGATAACTTTTATAAACGAACGAGTACAAAGGTGCAATTTCTAACAGCGAGGTAACTGAAAAGCGATAATTATAAATTGTACTCTTCCTAGGAGAAGGCTTGTTATTCCGCGGCCACGATCTAACTTCTGTCTGTGATTTGGCTAGGATTGCCACAAAAGCGATTTGTCCGCACCGGGGCTGTTGACTGTACTAACTTTTTAATTTGAACTATATATAGAAATAATTCTTTGTATGACATTTTTTTACTATTACCACTTTTTCATGTAGAGAAAAATGAACAGATGTCATTTCACTCTTTCAAACAGCAACCATATTTATGCCATTAAATTTCTATTTTGTATCTTATAGTTCTAATTTGATGTATTTCTGTTGTACTGTCTTAACCGACTTGACTATTTCCGTCCGTTTCAAGCAAAACATTTCTTGACATTCACGCCGTAAAAGCCTGTTTGCTTACACTTTTTGCCTAGTCGCAAACGATAAGCAAAAAAACTATTCAAAACTTTTAACGGTTTTTGAGCAATGTCTAGGCCAAGCATTTCATGGATAGCGCCCAAAACTTACCCTCGCGTTCAGTCCAGTCGGTGGTTTCTTTTATTAATTATTCGAGTAAAGAAATTTAACTCTGACACTGTATAATTCATAGCTGAAAATTTTCAAATTTTTAATTTCCAGGGAAATAAAATAAAGGTTACAAGTCTACAAGTTTGTAGTTCAAAACAGTAAACAATACGAGCCGTGAGTCTAGCATTTCTTGGTTAACGCCCAAAATTCATCCTCGCGTTTTAACCCTGGCGCAAATAAATTCAAAGGTGGGAATTCTAAACATTTCCAGGTCAATGAAAAACAAATACGTCCATAAAAAAAGAATTATTCGATAGCTCTTAAGGAAAACTTCACACTTAAGGAATGAATTACAAACTCTTGAGACATAACAAAGGTTTTTTTTTAGAACTGAAATATTATATACAAGTACGCTAATACAAAACAATAGCCTTATTACCTCTTCCAAAAGGGCTATTGTGAAGTCTTCATTTTTGCTGTAATTTAATTATAGGAATTCTTGTGGCTGATGAACCGTTATATTTAATGTGCTTAGTGATTTTAATGTTGTTCTAATATTTGAAATACGCCGCGATTGTCTTTTGCTTATTGTTAAAAATGGCAACAAATGTTTAATGAAAACAAGAAAACAAAACACCTGCGTAACCAATTTGATCTCTTTTTTATTCGCTACTAGTTTCTTAGAAAGGAAACACTAGTCTTTAAGTGAAAACGCCCCAGTGTTCAGTTGTTACACGTGCTTAACGAACTCCGGTAGTTTCAATATTCCAGGGTCTTCAAAGAGATTGTTCAACGGTTGAGTTTTCCCTTCAGTTGTATGAGCTCAATAAAGTTAATAGCACTTCATAGTTAACATTACCGGCAAGGGACCAAACTCTTTTGTCTTACCTGGCAAAGCTGACACTGTGAATAGATAAACAAGTGCGAGCCAAGCGGAGAGATAAATTGTCCACAAAAGCTTCATTACTGATTTCTCGCTGAGTCAGGTGTTTAATCCTGTGCCTGATTACCTAAACAATTCTTTTGATTTCACTTGTTGTGTACTTGGATGTTACCAAGAGATCTATTCATTTATTCACACGAGCCCGACACACACGACACAGTTTCATAGTTAAGTTGCTCATTTGGGATACCTGCTGACTTTATATCAATGGTCAAGGCTTTTTTGTCAAGCTGACGCGATTCAGTTTAACGGGTGAGTGAACAGTTTGTACATACCTGTCGTTTGGCGGCGATTTTATTAAATCAACATTAAATAATCAATTTTTCTTTTTAATTTTGATCGATTGTCCAAGTTTGATTGGAATGCTAACTGAACAAGTCGCAAAACATTCAGCCTTGCTATAGACGTGTAACTGAAACCAGTGTACACATATCTACAAGCGAGGTGGAAATATACGCTGGTTGCTTCATTATGATCTGGTTAACCTATCAAAGTCGGTTATTGTAGTTCTGCCACGCCAATGATATGTAATATGAAAGAATATGCTAGCCGCCTTTTTCTTTCTTTTAGAGGTTAGCGAGCGTTCGAGACCCTATTTCTCCTTTCCTCTGCATATGACCGTAGGATAGAGCAAAGTCGGCCGAAGTAGTCTAGTCAAGGATGCGTAATGTGCAAAACAATCATGCGCATGCTTTAATAATCTAGTTCCCAGAATCCTTAGAGTGCTAAAACCAAGCAAAGTGCTTCAAATCTAAGCTTGCTGCTTTCACTGTTGAAAGTCTACGATATTGCAAATACTGTTGATTTAATGAAATGTACTAAAATGTTCTAACCTAAAAGGACTAACGATCTAATTTGTTGGTCGAGCTGAAACGTTGTCATCTTTTCCAACCCTTTTTTTTGTTTGACATAATAGGCGTTACCGAAAATGCAATACTTCTCGTAAATAGTGCAGGGTTAGCTTATTATTCCGGAGTACATTGGCACGAGCTGCACATTTTCTCTTCACAATAGACCTTTCCGAAAAATACCATAACTCTCTTTAGTGTTCATGTTTGTCCTGGTGCGGTATTTAGGAGGATCTTGGCTCGAGCTGCACATTTTGTCTACAATAATTAACTATACACTTTGGCGCCGTTAACATCAAAAAGTTGTCCCGGGCAGAAGAGTCACCCGCCTCTTGCGACTTGTTACCAAAATTTCTAACTCGAATTCATTTCATTATATTACTGAAATTTTCTCCTCAAAATACATTTACAACAATGTATTTGCAGTCCTTTATATGCGTATTCCTAGCGGTTAACCTTAAGTGATCGCTGATCAGTCAGATCACGCCGGCGTCGCTTTCTCTGCAAATCAGGTGCAAGACAAACATTGTAAACATTTATTTAGACTAGCGTCTCCCTTCCCGCTTAGCACTTCACTAAGAGATTATGACGAGTTCAGTCCTTTTGATTTCGTAGCACTGATTTTTTGGCCAGATGACTAAAGTTATAGTGGTTGGTGTTGATCAGTAATAGTTTTAGGTTTTACAGGTACACTTGTATCAGTGTTTAATATACTAAACATCGACGTGCTTTCGGGCAGTCTAAATGAATTCATCGCAACTCCGTTTTGCTGCGGGCTAAAGCTCTTCCTATTTCTGGTTATTCTGTGATAAACAATTATTTCGGCCAAAAGGATAAAGAAACATCCCAAGCTTATCATTGCCGTGTTGAACAAAAACCCTCCAAACTCGTCAAGGCCCATCTTATGCGCGACAACAGTTTGCTGAGAATTTTCACATCTTGACGGTGTCCATCTGCCAAATATCTCAGTGATAATGTGTTCCGCTTTCAGTTTGTGGATTGCATGAGATAGAGGATGATTCCAGGAAGAGTTTTTCGGTAACGCGAAAGCCAATCCACCCAGCTCGAAAGGCAGTCCATCTTGTTTTATTTCGCAGTTTGGATCCTCATCACCGGCGCCTAGTTCGGAGATGAAGACTGTTAGCTCGCTGGAAAAGAAAAAAGACATGATGTTGTTCAATGATTAGTGTTCAGTGAGGGCAATTTATTTGGTTATTTTCTTTTTCATTAAGTGATCTTTTCAGGTTAAAACTGAAGACAACATCAAGAATGTGAGAGGGTCCGAGTCAGAAACCGCAAGTACCATAACCTCTATAGTACGACTCGTTTTGGAACTAAAATTAGTGTAGCTTTTTTCTTTTTCCTTATCCATTTATTTTCCTTTTTTTTCTGAAGACAACATCAAGAATATGAGAGGGTCCGGGTCAGCAAACTGCAAGTACCATAACCTCTATAATACGACTCGTTTTGGAACTTAAATTAGTGTAGCTTTTTTCTTTTTCCTTGTCTATTTACTTTCCTTTTTTTTCTCGGCCCTCAATTTATCGACCTCCCTATCGCTCGGTCAATACATCAAGGCCTCGGTCTGAGATCAGTTTCCCTGTAATGACCGAACAGACGAAGTTAATAAGTAGTTTATAAGGCCAGACTTATCACCTGGAAAATGGTTATTTACCTTTTGGAAACAAGGTTTCTATAATATCATGGTCAAACTTGTTATTGAACGATACGTAAAACTGTTTTAAATAACTATGGTTTCGTGGTGTTATGCATCAGTTAAACATACCCTGTTCTAACTTTTTTCACTGCCTCAGCAAAGTTCTCCACGTTGTATTCTTTCATATTTTCGTAGATTTTTCTCAGCCTTTCACTCTTGCTTTTTTTAAAGAAGTCCTCGGTGCTCGTGTCCTTTATGGTTCCAAAAGTGAATCCTTCTGGTGGGTCTACTAACTAAGACGCACAAAAACACGCAGTTATTGTTGATCATTATGTGAAGGTTATCAATATGTTTAAGTATTCGTCTTTCCGTTGCCTGTGGATCTTCGGGGGTAAAAACCGGTTTTCAGCTACAGTCAACTCTCTCTTAACGGACACCTCTCCAAGACGAACACCAGCTGGTGTTGGTCCCTGCAGTCTTTCAGTCATTTTACTGTTTTGTACAAGTTCAACAGACGTGTATTCATTGCGAAAAGGTTCAGCTTTACAATATTACTGTAGGAGTCACATTATTCCTACTCTCTATAAGCCCGACACCTCTGTAAGTCAGGGCCGTTCCCGGAGGTGTCCTTCTTAGAGAGAGTTGACTGTATGCTCTACTTCTTCCACAGTGAGAAAACAGCTGATGGATTACGCGACGCGACGCCACCACTGGTCCTCCCCCCCTCGAAATGACTTCTGAGGAACGAGAGTAGAAATTCCATCCTAACTACGCGTCACTATCCAGATTTGGGTAGTACTTCTGATTGGTTGAAGAACATTTCTCTCGCGGCGCGACCAATCACAAGTATTACCCAGATATGAGTAGTGAGACGTCGTCAGTATGGAATATCTGCGTTCGTTTCTCAGACGTCATTTGACGGGGAAACCCATGGTGACGTCACGAAATGTCGGCTGTTTTCTCAGGTTACCACAGTCGTCATTATTGTCTGTTTCTTAGGGGACGAACGTGGTGAATGACGGGAAGGAAAAATGCAAGAAATAGAGCTGATAGTCTCCTTAATTTTCGTTACCATCATCCCATCTGCTTCTCATACGCGCGCAATTCTGCTGAAAGGCAACTTATTAGGCAGCGTCACGTTTTTCTGGCCTATTGTAGCTTCCAGACCCGCAAGGACTTCTTTGCAACATGCTTTCTATAGTTTGCAATCGGCTAATTTTTCCTCTATGAACTGCAAATGTCACATATAGTATCATTTACCCGTAACAATTAAAATGTGTTCAATTTCATATCTCTGGTGCACTTTATCTTTGTGTCGCTCTTCGTCTCCTCATCCGATCTACGAAAACCATTTTTAAACTTCATGGAAAAAAACACAAACAAACATAGTAAGAGGCCTTTTCGACGGCGGTTTGACAGCAATTTCCTCGTCACCGTAAAATAAAATCCCCCAAGTTTCGACTCAGTTGCTATAAAAACAATCATGAACTGGTTTGGCTGTGTTCAGTTGCATGAGATTCTTTTTAAAATACTTGTTATATAACATTTTGAAATACTTGTTTTATCTTGTACTTTGGGGCACAATGGACGTTAACCCGTGGTTATTGATCCACTTGAAAACGTTTTCTATTCGATATCAACCTTAATATTAAACTCATCTTGTTTTGCATGGTCTGGATATCAGCTGAAACACGTCGCGCCATGTAAGGGAATCCAAGACAGTCTTGGATTCTAGATTCCACACGGTTGATTCCGGTTTACAGGTACTGGATTCTGAATTCTTTATCAGCGGAACTTGGATTCTGGATTCCAATCGTTTTTGGGATTCCGGATTCCTTAAACTGTATTCCGGATTCCAAAGCCCAGGATTCCGAATTCTTCAACTCAAAAAGTTGCTGGATTACGGAATCCGGACTCCCTTACATGGGGCGAAACACGACTCCTTCTTATTTCGGCATATTACATTAAAGCCGCGTTACAGCACTTACCTTTGGATCTGCTATCCCTGTAACAATCACAGTTTCATCGAGGGTGATAAGAGAAGCAAGTAAATTTGCAGTATACGAGCTGATTAACACCAGACCCGCAAAGTTCGCAACAACCATCACAAACGGAACTGAGTAAGTCTGCGCCTCAATTTTTGTGAGTGGTACATGAAACACATTGCCATAAACGTACATAATAAATTCAAAAGGCAGAAGATAGGCGCTTTTGTGCTGTCTATAATAATACAGCTTTTCTATCAAATATACAGAGACAACAACAGTTAAAAACGCTGCTAAACACATCAACCACAGCAACGTGCTAAAAGATTTCATCAGTCTCATGTCGCTGATGAATTCCCAAAAATTTTTATTTGTTGATTTATTTATCTTGACCAGAAACATCAACGCGGTGTCCATGAACGGAGTTGTGAAGTCAACATATTGCGAACGCTTCTCGGTAGCCGTTATCATTCCGAGCGCTAGATCGGCAAATCCTCGGTAAACATCGCCGATCATTCCATTCATTTGTTTAGTGACCGGGTCCAATGATCCATATTTTCCATCTGCCACTAAATATAAATCGAATGTAAACTTTTCGATTTCTTGAAGCTTGATTAAAATGTCAATCATGAGACCATAACAACAACGGGTGTTCCATAGCGATATATTATTCCCTGCCTGTGTTCCTGAGGGATTGTTATCATCCGCATCAAACTGCGTACAAGGAACTGTGTTGGCTGGACAATTTGTGCCTAGTCTTGTGCTGTAGTCCATTTCGTGAAACGCCGTAAATGGATCCTGATCAATAGATACTATTCTCAAATGACGCGGTCTGGGTAGGTCCCTAGGTAAAAAGGGCTCAAACATACTGGGGCCATATGCATTGTCTTGGGGTGCTTCAGGTTCAACATGTCCCACGATGTTCCAGTAAAGTCCCCCTTCTGGCTTTCGCATGACTTTCACAATCGAAAATTTGAAGGATGAGCGTTCACCGTTTGGGTTGAATCGGACGGCTCCTGTTTGGCCAAGAAAACTACCGCTTATCATTTCCCTAAAAAAAATATATATATTTTAAGCCATCAAAAACAGACTTTATACCGGCAAAGATTCTACATCCGGATGGTCGCTGGTATACTCCGGGATAAATATAATCTCGAGCGTTTCCGTTTAGCCTGCGAGTAAGCTCTCCATTTGGGGGATATCGTAAAAAGTAGACGTGCGAGAGGCACGCGAGAGGAGACCCGAAAGCGAGGGCTACTCGCGGCTTCGCTGCTCGCTCGCGCGTTCTCGCGCGGAGAGCTTGCTCGCAGGCTATTTAATGATTATTCCTTGAGAGGAATAATTGTTTTAGTAAAATCCAACTAGTTGGTCAAAAATATCAAGAATAAAAAAAATTTAGCTAGTTAAAGCTAGACTTTATCCTTTTATGCCGCCAAAAAGCCCGCCCGCGCTTTTCGCTACTTATGGGCTATAACATATAGCCTAGTAGTAGTTCAACCAATCAGAACGCAGCATTGATAGTAGATCACTAGCTGGATTTTACTAATTTCCGTTAAACTATAGCTACATTATTGTTGCGCATCTCTAATGCCCTGACATTTACTCGGCCAGACCCTCACTGTTAGCAAACGGCCGCGGATGGTACCGTTGGTCTTTTCTCCTCGCTGTAGATTTTCCATTGGGCGCCATGTCAGTACACTGATGACCTTTACTCGTTACATCGAGCTTATGCCAGTAAATGGCCGTTACACTTATATAATTACAATTTACCTGAAAAGCGTTCTTTTATAGGAGCTAAAAAGGTCCCCTTGTAGACACTGTAATATTGAAATGTGTGATAGTCCGCCAACAGAGCGCTCCAAGCTCTTCACAAACAGCTTCACCGAGTCATTTAACAATCCTTTGGACAGGGCCAAAATACTGTCGTTCCCAATCGTCGGAGCTTTCTTCACTCCAAACGAACTCTCTGGAAAGTCATCCGCTTTCCAGCCAATGGCTTTATCGGTAAATATCCACACGAATTCTCTCAATACTTCAAAACTGAGTAACTTAAAAATCTTCATTATTGCCTCACTCTCATCACTCGTACAGTGAACAAGAATCGTCCGCAATCCATAAGCGCTTATGGCGGCAAGACCTGCACTGAGTTGTTCCAGAAGTGTTTCTTGGTTAAGAATAATGCACCGAGGCCAGGTCGCTTGTTGTCCATACTTGTTAGTTAGGTAGCCAGACAAGTGGGAGAATAACGAGTCGTCACGCGATGATTCGGTCGTGATGCAAGCGAAACGACTATCCTCAAACTCCACCATCAGGTCTTTGAGCACACTAGCTTGCAAAGCCTCCGTTGGGAGCATTGATAGGTACATCACGCCATCCTTCAAAATTATAACATATAAAATCAAGATTTTAAAAAGTATTCAGCAAAAATCCGGAACGGAAGAATTTTCTAGTTATGAAACAAAATTGCTAAAGAATCTCTGACAAGTTTAAAGTTAAAAAATGCGACTTCTTATTCCGGGCTACCTATGAGGGCGACGCCCAATCAAGGATCTCTGTCGAAAAAAGACAAGGTTAGCAGTAGATAACATCGGGTGAGGCCAAATAGGACGCCTATGAGGTTTACACAACACACTATTCTCTTAAAGTAACGAGACTCGAACAGAACCCTACAAGCCTTGTAGAATTGCTGAAAAAAACATCAAAACTGCGCATCACCAGTTATGGAGAGAGCATACTAGAAAGTTACGCACTGATCTGCAGTGATTATGGGTTAAGCTGTTAGCTTTCAAATATTGCAATGGGATACGTCATACGTACATGTATATTTTAAACATTCCGGGATTTGGCTGGGATTTCGATGGTGTAGTGGATATGGATGTAGTTGACGAAGCAAATGACTCAAGTTCAAAGCATCCCAGTTCTGTTTATCTATCTTGTTATTTTATATTACACAGTTAAGTTGGAATTAAGTTGTTCTTCATGTAATTTTAGTGAAAGAAAAAAATCTGGCTTTAGCTGATGTTATTTGTTGCTATAAACCCCGGAGTAGTCAATCGATAAAAATCGATAGCAATCAAGTGATTTTTATCGATTGATAACGGAAATCGGTGAAAATCGATAAACTAAATTGCTGTGTCAAATCGATATTATCGATTTTTCATGATTTTAACGATTTAGAACAGTAAGTCCGACATTGTTGTTTTTTGGCATATTAAGTTAAATAGTACAAGTGAGAAAACACATCCACGAGTAACAACTGATAAACAAACATGAAAATAAAAGATGTGGAAACTATTACAGACACAAGATTCTCTCTAAAACAGTGACCCTTTTGTACATAATAATAAAAACGGTTCGGTTTAATTACATTCGCTGTTCTCGCAGGCAATTACCATGAGATTTCCCAGCTGAATTTCAGAGATCCTCAAGAGTCGAAGGGATGCCTGAAATTCAGGCTAAAAGATTTCCTTAGATAGCTTTTAACCGTTTTCCGTTATCAATCGATAAAATCACTTGATCGCTAACGATTTTTATCGATTTCGATTTTTATCTATTAGCTATTCAAGGAAGTAAATACCGCGTGGAACTGATGTTACTTTGAAAGGGTGGCAGATCTAAATCGTGAAAAAACTGGGCGCCTAAAAACCTGGCCAATATCGGCCATCAGAAGAAGACTTTAAAGCGGGTTTTAAAGAAAATAAAAGATTTTTTAATTTTTTTGAAAGTAATAATATTGTTTGATCGTTTGACTCTCAATGGCAACTCAATTGCCAACAAATTCACTGTTTGAATAGCACTTTTCATTTTTGGATGAACAGAAGAACAGATGTATCTTCCGACATAAATCGATGGAATCGGTTAAATCTAGATAAATCGAAAAACGAAACGAGTGTGTCATAGATTTCTACCGATTGATCGATACAATCGATATCAATCAAATGAGATTTACCGATTTTTATCGATTTATCACTCGATAAATCGACACCGATTTTTTATCGATTGACTACTCCGAGTATAAACCAAATGAAAACAATGGCAGGCGGATCTCCCAGAAGGCTTTGCGTGTCCTACTGTCCCTTCAATGGAGCCGATTTTTGCGAGGAGGAGACGGGTCATTTCAGGTCGTCTGGCCGCGCGAACAGATTTGAAAGTCAGATTTGGAACAAACACAAAATCATTGCGTGGAGTTATTGGCCCTATATCTACGCCGATTGATTATTTAAAACAGTCAGTATTCGGTGATATTGTTAGCCTATGCAGGATGTAGAAACAATGCCCTCCCAGGGTCCCACAGGAAGGGAAAAGCTCAACTTTTCTCCTTACTTATGAAAAGTCTTTCCTTACATGAATTCCATATTCAGTTGGTTAGTTAGAAAGGCTTTAAATGCAATATCCAACATAAAATTGAAACTTAATTTGCTTTGCAAGTTTTACGAAAAAGAAAATTACTGTTATTTAACAGTATTTAAAACAACAAAATTAAATTTCGCGATTTAAGATTGTCAACTTCATTTAAAAAAAGTCTGAAACTTTAATATTTTAGATAAACTGGAACAAGAAATGTGTGAAATCTTTGCAAACTAACGTTATTTCACAATTACAAAATGGAGCTTACGTACCAGTGAAACCAGTTAGGAATTGTGTTTGTCGATACATATCCTGTACATGTTGTTGCTTGTGATTTGAATTTTCCATATGGGTATTAAATTTCGCGAGAATTTATTTTTTCGGGTCTTTAATTGCGAGATATTTTTTACTATCGCGAAAAACGCCAAATTTAGTACCAGTAAGGTAACCGCAGAACAGAACGTAGAACGACGATAATTCAGTTTTGGAAATTCCAGTTGGATCCTTCGTCACGTTCGGTACTGTCATGCTCTTTTTTGGGGATTAGGGGGATTAGGTAAGGAGGTGCTTTGTGGAAATGTCCAGGTTAAAAATTATGCCAATCGTTTCTTGTTCCAAAGGCTAGTATAGACATCTATCCCATTTCATGAGTTAGGAGTTAGCTATACACTCCTGCCTGAAGAAAATGTAAAAAACAACAAACAGTGCCACACACGTGTGCGTCCTCTCCGGGATACGATTACCCGCGGGAAATATTGGCGGGATACTGCCCTCACCACTGCGCGATCCTTTCATATACCGCCGATTTAAATACAATACCGATACAATTCTATTGTAACTCCCTACACATAATTTGCAACTAAAATGCGACTTGTTTACCCGCAATACTAGGAGTTCCGCTTAAAAAGATTAGTAAACAAGCGAGTCTGTGTCACGGTTAAAACAAGAATCTGGAAGTTTGTTGAGTAGGAGAAAGCCGGAGTAGCCGGTCAATAAACTTTTCGAAGCAAGAACGAAAACAACCAAACAATACAACACGCGTATAGTGGGGCCGGATACGATTAACGGCAGGAAATATTGGCGGGATATTGCCCTCACCTGCGCAAAACCTGCGCCACACTTTCTCCCTATACCGCCGACCCGAATGCAAGCAGCTGTACAATATATACCAATACAATTCTATTGTAACTTACAAAACAGCATTTTGCGATCGCCTTTTCACTTGAAAAAGTAAAATAAAATAATTATAATTTTAAAAAAAACATAGTTCATTACATCAGTGACGAACTAACAATAGGAATGAATCTTGTATTTGGCCTACAGCTGTAGCTTGCCACGAGTCCTTCGCAGCTCAGTGGTTAAGGCATGCGACCGGTGTGCGTAAGGTCATAGGTTCAATTCCTGTCGTGGACTCACATTTTTTCTTTGTCCCGCGCCCGTGACAGAATGATTACATCTTTTGAATAGGAATGACAAAATTGTGAGGTTCGCTGAAATACCCCTAGAAGTTAGAACTGCGCTAGAGTACAGAAATGCTACGCCTTTTACGCTTCTTTAGCTAAATCTTCCGTGTACATTAACTCCGTCAATGGTAAAATATGTGTTTGCCTTTTCTTAAATATACACTCGATCATCATTACTTGTTCCATATTACTTGATTAACCATTGTTTGCTATTTGGTGACATTAAAGTGTACAGTCAATGTGCCGACTTGTTAATTACAGACCCATTACACTTAAAATTCAAGATTTACTTGTCATTTTGTCACATGGAATGGACAAGTTTATAATTCTACCGGCGGCTTCCCTTTGGTTCATTCCCGGGATCGCTCTGTATTACTTAAGCAGCAAAACCTAAATTTTAATTTATAAGAGGCAGGGAAAGGACCTTATTTGACAGTTATTATCTTATTTGTGAGTAAATATCATGAAATGTTCTCCGATTTAGATCTAAATTGAAATAACGCCGAATTGGACCATGGGATAAGAGAAAGAAGTTTAAATTCTTAGCTTATGATTTTGTATAAATCCCCCGCTGGAATTAGTCCTTCATTAATGTCTTCATTCCAGACGTCCAGTTAAAAATCAGTTAAAACAAAGTTTTGTGTTCGGAAATAATAAAAAGCTCCAACTAACTTAAAACTGTATATCTCCGATAGTCATTTCAGTTAAAAAAGCATGCTGAAAGAATGATCGAAGCTTAACACACCAGTTTTTCTTGGTATGGTTTATTTTTTGTTTTCACAGCTTGAAAAGAAGCAAATTCTCATGCAAATTTACTTACTTTTTCACACCATTCTGTTTTGTTATTTCACCGCGGGAGAGACGAGCGCCAATTTTGTAATAAGTCTCTGAATAAACGTGTAAAGGGTCTGTAAAAGTGGTGAATTAAGTTAAAATTTACGTATGACAGATTTCTATCGAAACTATAAGAAATAGTTGGATCTAAAAAACCTATTGTGCGTAGGAAAATATAGGAATGAAAGTATCTTTGAGTTCGCCTCACAAAATTTAATTGAATTTCAATTCAACACTTTTTTCTTCGAAAACGTTATGTAATAAACAGTACACGCTCTACTATATTTCCAGATATTTTTTTCAAATATTGACTTCTATATGACTGGCCTTTTCACATTATAAAGTGCCTTTTGTCTCACTATTAAGAAAATATTTTTCATATCTTACCTTCTTGTTGTTATAAATGTCCTCTATAAGACTTTCCATTCCAATTACCGGAATAACACTTGTACTCAATACGTTAACAAGAACCTGATTTTTCCACGGGGGAAGAAAGCTTAAAACCGCACTTGCATTTCGCAAGATAATGTTTTCGTTGATTTTCGCCCACGTTAAATCAGGAGTATCTTTTACTTTCCATATGATGATAACTCCTTCCAAGCGAAGAGGCGAAAAAATGATGGCTTCCTTGAGAATATTATCAAAAGTTGACTCTAAATCTTCTTTATGAATTTCCTCAAAAATAAACGCAAGCTTTGCTGTTGGATGATCTAATGTGGTAGTCGTCACAGCAAAATTAACGCATTTACTGAGCAAGAGGTAAATGAAGGGAAATGTTATTGTATATCTTGCGAGTAAGCTTCGAGGCATTGTTAGGTACCTTCACAGTCAGTGAAATATGTAGATTAGAAAGCGTTGGAGTCGAAAATTTTGGAACTTCTTACCGCGTTCACACATTGTCCATCGTGGAAGGAGTTTCACTTTTCAGAATTGTATAGAATATCGGCCCGTGCGCGATGAGATTTTCTCCGTTTTAAAAATGTAGTTTCAACGTGGTGATATGCCTTCGACATCTAACAGCCCTACTTGAAAGACATTATCGCATAAAGTGCCAACCGAATACGCACTTAAAGGTCCACTCTCGGCATATATGTGTGCATAAAACGTGATATTTGAACCCTGAGCAGGTGAACAGACAAACTTCAATTTCGCCTTTCTTCTTCGATGCGAAGCAATTACCTGATGAACATTAACTCCATTCTCCTTTTCATTACGCAATTCAGTTTTCCATCGTCATCAATTTTGCACTGAGTTGCTCGAAAAGCCGCCACCGTTGTCACAACCAACACGACGGTCTTGTCAAACGCTTAAACAAGCATTTAGACTGATCTCTTACAGTTCACAGTTTTTTTTTCACCTTTAGAATATTAGTTCGTCACCTCTGAATTCACACAACGGCTTCGTCTTGTTGGCAAAATTACAATTTCTCTTAACCGCAGACCTGATAGCATACAGTGTACGGACCAACAGCCTTCACACGAATTAAATGACCCGGAAATAATACAACCCTCGATTACTTCCTTCCTATTAAAGTCTAACACTGAAGATAACTTTGAAATGTATGAGCCATTATAACGTAGATATGAGTGAAATCGATTTGTCTATCAGTGTAAACCCCTGAAAAGCATTCCCTGCGGGAGATTTACAAACTATCATCATTTTTAATTAGGGTTGACATTATTATGCTGGGGCACCGAATATTATGGAGATTTTGTATAATATTTATTAAATAAGGGGATTTTAGCAGGCACGAAAGATCACAGGCTTACGTTAAATCGTACATCAGCGATACTATGATTCCGAATCAGAATAGTGTCAGTTATTTACGACTTTAATTTACTGGTTAAATTTGTCTCTTGCCGAAAACCATCAAAATTAATTCACTTTTCTTTGTTGTAAATGCCTCATCTGTGAGAATTAATATAAGGTTAGTCACTATAATTGTTGTTCAGTATTAAGTTTAGAGTAACGATCCTTTAATTCCCAAAAAAGTAGACTTCATATGCGTAACCAGCAATAGTAGTGTATCTTTATTATCATTATTAGGAATACTCTTCTTACTAGAGTGATTGGTAAATGAAGGCGATATAGACTGCTTTCAGTCCGCGTTTTCTCTAACATCCGTCTAGTTCTTATCTAAGCCAGCGCGATTGCAAACCACGACGTTACCATTTTAAATTATTCCATTAACCGATTTATTTGTTTAACTCCGCGCAGTTTACTTTCAACTTACATTGTAACATTTGTTCATCATCCAGAATGAATGTCAGCCAAAGACAATATGAAACAATAACAAAACAGTTGATGAAGAACACTGAGCGGTGGCGCTACTGCTTTAAATGATCGGGCGGACCTAAAACTAAGGATGTTTTAACGTTTGGGTAATGCCAGTTTGACCATTCAAATTTAGGCACTTTCTCCGGCGTTTCTACCTTTTGAGGTCGTGGATGAAATCCTAAAGTTTGACGATGCAAATAAAGGTTTCTTTGAGTTCTTTGCCCTGATACTGTTTATTTTGCTGTGCAAGGCTTGTCTGTTTTTTTGTGGGTCTGGGTGTAAAATCCTGAAGTGTGACCGTTTAAAGGAACTTAAAAACTGAATTGAATCTTCTGAGCCGTTCTGTGGTCCCACTAAATTTTATGAAAATTATGTCCCGAATTTTTTTGACCGAATAGTACATCGATATCTTATGGCAACAAATAAATGACATGCTACCTGTGAGGAAAAAAGAGCGGAACGCGAACGGTTGGACATATCAAGGCAAACACTTCAAACTAATGCATGGATAAATGTGACATATTTTTTAATTGTTACTCAAGCTGTCGGACTGATCAGCTTTTCAGTTGTCAGCTCTTTTCTCTTAAACTGTTTTACTGACTCGCTGCTAAGCGAATGTGTGTTCCTTTGAGGAATTTTGAAGTCCTAATTGTAATTATAAAAAAATTGGATAATCGAAGAAAAGAAACAACTAATCATCTCGTAATATATGCGTTCCCCGGCAGGACGGAAAATCCGAGGGGGGCGGACCATTTTCAGGCTTCAGGTACTAGGGGTAGGGATTTCAGTACTTGAAGTATATGAACAGTATATGAAACTGAGAGGGAAATCTGTCAACTTCGTTTATAAAAAGGCCCAAAACGGTTAACAGATGCCCTGATGTAAACGACAGTGCATTTACAGCAGTTGAAAGAGATACTGTTCTTGTCAATGAAGGTATACAAAAAAGTCAAAAAAGGGTTATAAGAATAAGGGATTGGACCTCGGGGCTGATTCCTCCTTGTTAAAAACTTTGTTGAGTATTCCTTCCCCGGGTGAAAAATAAATAATAAAAATTCGGGATACGGATTTATTTCAAGAGAAGACTGGCGACGGTGAGCGGCCCTCTCCATAAGCACTATATACATGCTCTCCTAGCTCGCCGGGTTAAAATGTCTTGCAGATCTGGAGCGGACAGGCGCCCATGAGTTCCTGGAGCGGAAGTCCACACGCTAATGGCCTTAGACGTGTTCTCCTCAGTATATCATGAACTGCTTTAGGTGATTTTCTTTCCTCTATAATGGAATCTTGGGGCTTGTTACAGTTTTTAATATTTAATTTACGTGTACAGCAAGAATATTGCAATTAACACGGGTGGTTGTAGCTAAAGATATCAGTAATTATAAGCAGTTTTGATGCTACGTTTACTTTGCAAATTTAAAAAAAAAAATACTTAAAGTGCTAATCTTTCCATCAGCGCTTGGGAGTCATTGCCTTGGACCAGGCTCCACGAAAAAAAATGAGTGAGCGAAGAGAAATGAGTGGAGGACTGGGAAGGGTAAAAGAGTTCGGCTCGCTTTGCTCGCCGATTTTTTTTCCATTTTTCCTAGATGCAAAGCCTGATCTGAGGCTAGGGAGCCAAATCGGCGGACTGGTAATTTGCAAAAAGTAAATTGCCATTTTGTAACTGTTTCCAAGGTTAATACGGAACCTGGGTCCTATATCTAGATAATAGACTTCCTAGCTAGTTTCTCAGTCACACATGCATTCGAGTTGTACCGTGGGCTAGTCGGTTTTCACAATTCCAAAGCGGAGCATATTTTGAGCCCTAGCTGTTAGGGCTCGAGACTTTTGAATCTGGCATCATGGAAAATTTACTCTATGTCAACTCAGTCGTAAACCCAAGCCGTGAGGCAAGGCAAAAACGGCGGCTATTCTATTTCAGTCAAGTCAGAAATGGAGAGAGACGAGATCTGTATGCCCAAGATAGTTCAAATGACATTTTCGAGAGAGTTTAACAGACCGCGGGTTGTAGTTGAAAAAAGCACAAAATTTCCGTTAGCCTAGCTTTGGGTTGTAAGCCCGGGGAAGACTCCCAATATGGGGCTAGACAGTCCTCTCCATAATGGTTTTTGAGGGTCTCCATCTTTAAAATGTGGGTGTAATTTTTGCCCTTGCTGGCGTTGTTTTCATTATCCTTGGATAGGGTACCATTCTTTTACTAGCTAATATTCAAGAGCGTAAATGCCCAGCTACACGAAAAATAAATCATCTGTTTTTGGTTTTTAATAACTTGAACTTTACTTTAGAGTATTAGGAAAGCGATCAAAGGAAGACTTGCTTGGTACCATTAAATTCTTAGTTTACCGGCACACAGCTATCCGGAACTCTAACTGATTTGAATGTGGTCGCTCACCAGTCTTTCTCCGAAGGAGGGGAGAGTGAGTGAATTTTTGGCTTACGGCGAGGCTACATGGCATTCTGGAATTAACCGTGACGCTATCGCGTTTCATACAAACATTACAGACCATTACAAAGTTTACCAAAACCAGCAATTTCAAATATTTGGTATTACAGAGCGCCTTAACTGTCGGAAATTTTTTTCCTGGATTTCTTATCATCCCCAAGCGATCATGTCGAGTTACGGGGCACCAACACTTGTCAACGTTCCTCGTTTGAACGAGATGAACGCCATTCAAGGCATCAAGAGTTTGCTGCAGCATGTCGACAAAGGAGAATTAAAAGATCTTTTGGAGAACGAGGAGCAGCTCAATGTTATCATATCAGATAACGATGAGGTAAGTTTTTCAGTGCTCGCCTAATCCTTCTTTTTTGATATTGTTAGAAATCGAAATCACTTGCTTTTTTTTAATAATTAACACACAAGCTTATTGATGTCAACTTTAAAATCTTTATACGTATTTGATTGTATGTTATTGCTGGATAAGCTTTCTATAGGCAAGTTTTTTTTCAGGAGGATTGAATTGTACAAGGTAAGGTGAAACATACATGTAACTTTTGGAGCCGCAGGATGAGCTGTTAAGTCACCTAGTTGCAGTAGTGACTAACTGTGAAGACTAATTATAAATTAACGTTTTTTTGGGATGAATGGATCTGAGGAGAAGTATGAAAATCCATTCCCAAAATTTGGTAATATTTAGCGGATAATAAGTTTGAAGTCTAATCATGGTACTTCCAACACTTCATGGCAGCCATGCTGGCCCCGGTTGTTCAAAAGATGAATAGCGCTATCTATCAGGCCACGGTTGTTCAAACGTTGGATAGCACTATGCACTGGATAAATCACTATCCAGCGGATAAGTATTTGGGAAACCAATTGCACTATCCACTGAATAGAGATTTATCCACCGGATAGCACTATCCACCTTTTGAACAACTGGGAAGAGGCCTTGGTTGTTCAAAGGTTGGATAGCTCTATCCACTGGATAAATCTCTATCCAATGGATAGTGCATTTAGTTTCCCCAGTACTTATTCGCTGGGTAGTGATTTATCCACTGGATAGCACTTGCTATCCAACGCTTTATCCAGCGTTTTAACAACCGGGGCCAGATAAATCACTATCCAATGGATAAGTTTTAGGGAAACCAATAATGTAATATCCAGTGGATAGTCATTTATTCAGTGGATAGTGCTATCCACCTTTTGAACAACTGGTACCTAGTGGAAAATAAGAAAAGTGTTTCCCACTGTGGCAACTTTTTTCATAAAAATCCTGGGAAAATTGTGTTACTGTTTCGTCCACCAGCATTGCTGCCTTGTCAAAACCATCAACAGTGCAGACAGAAGGTAAGAGAGGTATGCAAAGTTGCCTCAACTCCATGCCATATTATGCCATTGGCCAAAGTAAGATATGACTGAGAATGACTGGTTGACTTATGTCCCTGTTTACTTACATTGAATGAGGGACATCCATGTAGGCATGTGTGTAGCTGTCTGAGATAATCCACAACAAATCTCCAGTTATCCTTGTGTGTAGTGATTGGTATTTTCTAGTGCAGATGCTTGCATACGTTCTAAGTTTGTGGGAATTGGCCATGTTGAAGAACCACAGAAGTTGTTAATTAAACTGTGTTAATCCAGCTCCATTGTGGTCTGACTCAAGTGAAGATTATAACACTCTATGATCGTGAGGAGGGTAGTGGCGCTGGTTGGAAAAGTTCAGAATGTGGGGGTGTGGGCTGAACCAAAAGGTGAATATCACCATTTTCACGCCAAAGAGGTCTTTGCTGGTAAAATATTACAGGGAGCCAAATGCTCTCAACCTGTTAGACCTAGGGTGCTCAGCCTGTGTCTTTTATCCAGGGCTAAGACTTCTTTGTCATTCAAAGTGAAGTCACCTGGTACTGTTAGAGGACAGTCCTGAATGACCTAAGAAAAGGTACCCCTACATGCAGTAGGGACAGGTTATACAAATCTGCAAATATACTTTAGTCTTATCTTGTAGATGGGTGTTGGCTGGGTGGTAGCCTGTGAGGCAGGCATTCTAAAGGGAAGGGGAAGAGAATTTGGGCTCAAGATCACGTGTGAGGGAGAAGTCTGAGAGGAAGGGTTACGAACCTTTCACCCTTCTCATGAGCCTGTAATCCCAGGGATATGTTCTGGTTCAGTCTGGTATAATTTGTACTCCTATCCTGTCAGTTATGGACCAGGTAGTTCAAGATTACAAGGCCAAGTCTGATAGAGAGCAAAATAACATTTGGAATTTCTGGGTCACATTATTTGGCAAATCATGCAATTTCTTTACAATAGATAAGATTTGGTATACATCTAAGAATGATTACTGTCATAGATTCTTAACCCTTTAAACCCCGAGATCAAAATTTGAATTCTCATTTGTTGCCCCTATTCATTTCCTACAGAAGTAGTGGGGAGAAGTTGATAAAATATCAAACAAATTCATCTTGTGTGGTTATGTCCGTAATTCTCATGACCACTCTGTTTTACAAACCATTGATATTACAAGGAGAAGTTTGATGCTGATCACTCTTAGGGCTTAACCCATCACCATACAAACTCTCCAGACTGGCTTCCATACATTTCTCGAAAAATTGGTTGAAAGAATTTTTAAAAAGTTAAAGCATATTTCCTTTAGTCTTAATTTTTTTGATTCTCATAACTTTTCTACTTGATTATCAAAATTTGACATTGTTTTACAATACTATAATGATAATCCTAAACCTTGTGAATATAGGTACGGAAGATAGCAGGATATCGGGATGTTTTAATAGCCAGTAACAAAAGTCTTGCGGAGCATAACTTGTCACAGAAACCCAAGCTGGAGAGGAACAAACAGCTGCTTATTGATGCTCATCAGAACAAAGCTTTGATACAAGCAGAATTTGAGAAGAACAGGACAAAACTTGGTAAATAATCTTGTCCAATATTTTATTCACTTGCCTGTATCCATTATTACAGTGTGGACACTCCAACTAGGACACTTAGAAGAAGATTGTCCAGTCACAACATTTTCTGAAAACAAAAGATTCTCAAGATTTTTTCTTGCAAATGTACCAATAAAATTCAAGGTTCAACTATGCAACTATCTCAGGAAACAGTCCTCAGATTTATGGATGTTATTGGTCCATTTGAAACTTTTGTTTTCAGAAAATGTTGTGATTCGACAATCTTTTCAAGTGTCCTGGTTTGAGTGTCCACACAGTAAAAAATAAATTATTTATGTTTTATGATTGCCTTCATTATTATTGGTTTAACTTAAGAATTGATTATACCTGTAACATAATCCCTGTGAATCAAGTAAGCATTTAATTGATGTTAGATCAGAATAGGACCTTGTTAAGTACACCACTTCAATATTACGTTTACTTTTGAGAGAAAGGGCTTTTAAGCTCCCAATAGCTATGCATGTATGTCATTAACATTCTTACTTAGTCTTGTGATTTAAGTGGTGGCATTAAGGACCGTCATTGCCACTAAACTCAGCAATAATCTCACCTGTCTTTCAGAAGCATTTTCAACCCAGTATTCTCCTGATACAACATTAGCACTTCTACAAACTTCCACTGCACAAGCTGAAGAGGAAGCAGAGGTTAGAAATATTCTTGTTGTTGCATAATTTTTGAAGGGTTATGTCTTATCAGCGTGTGGTTTCCCAGGTATGATCAGAAAATAAGAAGGTTGATTTCTTCAGTAAATGGATGTGGAATGATGAGCCATGAGCACAACCTTTTTCCTTAAAGTTGGGTGTCTGTTCAGGAAAGTTCTACACTGTACAGAGGCCCTCTTAGTGGGATACTTATCTCCCGGGTCTGAATTTCAAATACGGTCCTTAAGTTGATTTTGAGGAGTAGGCAAAGTCCCTGTCAATATTTAACCCATCCTTATGTCGTTTGTTACCTTTTCATCTTGTCGCTGTTTCAAGGCCATGTTGTCGGAATTTTACCCCAACAAGGCCTTCAATCTGTACTTTGAAAATTCTTCTTACCAAAATTGTGTACTTGATGTGCTGCAAACTGCACCTTCTAATACTTACTTGCAGACATTTTTTACAACTCCTGATAGCCAACTGTTGGTAATAAAATCAATTATTTCTTTCTTGTTTACCATTCATGTGCAAGAATACTGTACTGGCAGATTCCAGGGTTGCCCTCTTAACCCTGCGGGCCGGGCTTTATAATATGCATTGTTCATAATTGTCAACTCCTTTGACTTTTTCATATTTTGTATTGCTTTGTTTCTATTTATTTTTAGAAAACAGCTGACAAATTCTTGGATGGGGAAATGAATGTTGAGGACTTCATTCAAACTTTTCAGAGTCAGAAAACTTTGCACCACTTACGAAGGATCAAAACTGAAAAGCTAACTGAACTGTTACGAAGTAGAAGGCCCTCCCAGTACTCATATAGATTTTAGTTGATGAATTAATAATATGTGCAGTAATTTAATTGAGATCAAGTTAACATATTGGTAATACACATTTACAATGCTGGGCATTGTATTAGTACCATTCCGTTCAATCTGCAAAACTGGAATAGAAAGTCTTTTGAGTTGGACTCTATAACATTTTGTCCCTTAAGAGTGAAAAAACTTTCCATAAGATGAAAATAATTTACTGAACTTTTGAAGAGCCCATTAAAATATCATGAACAAAATAAAACACTGATGTGAAGTATATATGAAATAATTCATTTTTGAATTCATTCACCCCTTTCAATTCTTCACTTCCAAATAAAACACTGTTGAAACTTGTTCACACTGCTGATTATTTCACGCTTCCCCCTCCCCCCAAATTAAATAGATTGATAGCATGCAGGTTCTCTTGTTGGGGCTTGACAGTGCTTTTGTTGTCTTTTATGTAAGGAGTTGTAGGAAGAGAGGTGGGGATTCTATGAGGTTTTGCATTTTCGGGATAGATGATCATTATGGAGAGGTATCCATTGTTAGGAAAGTACAAGAAGAGGTTTTGAGATCAAGGGTGCATATGATTCACCTTTTACTGGAATAGGAATACAGAGAATAATCCATAATAATTACCCATTCAATTAACCTACAGTGATTCCTAGTTCTGAAATTATAAGTGTACAGTTTGCTCCAAGGATCAAAATGCTTCAGAATAAAATACAACGATGGCATTGTTTTTCTTTTGTTGTAGTAATCTGATTGTAGTAAGCAATGAAACAGGTGGGCAAAGTCAGTGACAACAACATTTTTTTCACTGAGGCGTGCCACAGAAAAGTTTACCGCTGGAGCAAAAAAGAAATCCTACTCAAAGAAAGAAAGAGAGCCATCAAATTTCTCCTTTGACATAATCTGTGACGCAAATATCCTCAATAAGACAACAGATCATTTCCCATCTTTAATATTATTTGATGACTGGTGATCCATGATGCATTCCTACCATGTGCTACTCTAGTTATCTTCTTTGGAACAGATCTTCCACTTGATTCACTAGTGCTTAGGCTTGATTACCAGCCACTGTGGAAATCAAGACAAGCACTCTTATGAAGCTGGACAATGTCTAACACAGATATTACTGGCTGGCATAGACATAAATGGATTTCACTGAATAACTTTAATAGGACTGCTCACAATAAAATAATGTCATCTTTGTGGTTGCTTCACATTAAAATACACCTTCCCTGTTGGCTTACAGTAAATTATACTGATATTATTATTTCGACAAAGGAGTCACTTCTTGACAAAGATGTTTTTTTTCAGTCACGGGCCTCAGAAGAAAAACTCTGGGTACTTCCCATATGAGTTGAACCAATGACCCTCTGGTTACTAGTCCAGTCGCTCTGCCACTAAGCTACAGGAGGCTCATGGGAGCTAAGGCCACTAAACAAGGTTAATGTGACAAACATCCTGCATGCTGCTGGAACTGACATCCAGGATTAAAATTCAGAATCTCATCTTCATCATTGTGCATATAAGCACCTACCGATATTCCTGTAGCTTAGTGGTAGTGCAATCTAAACTTCCGGTTCACCAGGCTCAAAATTCACCATCTCATCGTCTCTCATCTCATCATCTTTTCTTGTATCATAATTTTACCATTTTACTTGGAAGCATCCATTACACGGTACACTGATAAATACTCAAAAAGAAAAAAATCACTCATACTTCTTGGCGTCCTCTTCTAATCTCTTTAAGTGAATGTAATAGGATATAACGCCAACTATGACAGTAGCCCCCAGAATAATCATCCTAAATGACCCTATTCTCATTTTGGGCTTGTTCAGTTCAACTCTATCTTCAGCCTTTTGCGTTCTTGCTTGCTGGTTTTGATTCAGTTGTTTTGAATAATGTGCCTTAGTCCATTCATCGAAGTCGTAAATCGATTCGCGAGGCTTTTTAGGCGACCTTGGCGGATAATAAGCGTGAGCGTGTTCAGCTCGTAATTGGCCATCCACCACCAGCTCCCGGTCATAGAGTTTTCTTTGCTCGTGATCACTCAACACATTGTAGGCCTCACTAATCTCTTGGAATCTGTCGTGTGATTCCTCGCTTCCCTTGTGTTTATCTGGATGATGCTTGAGAGAAAGCTTGTAAAACGCGGTTTTGATCTGCGCCTGGGTGGCTTTTGGAGATACACCGAGCACTCTGTAGTAGTTTTTCTTCGTGGGTTTCTTGTGACCCGGGCCGGTGCTGTAGTAGTTAAGCTTTGTAAATCCCAAATTTCCAAATGATGTGGTAGACACGATCGAACCTGATAGTCTATACAAGCAAAATACAGGCCTAACAGATAATGGGATATTTTTCAATGCACACAATTGTCGGGATGATGCATTTTGCAACAACAGTTTCGTCAAAAAACTCATACTCAATGCTGATCAACACAACTCACTACGCTGCACGTACCGGCAAATGTCGCCATTTGCAATGAACTTTCCGGATATTTGCGTCATTTATGGTAGGCGAAGTGTACCGATATCGGCCAGTAGTTACCTTATGTAAACTGAAATACAGTGTATTTTACGGCGCAGCTCCGCTGATCTCAGTAACTACTTTACCAACATGGCCTCTGGAAGGCGTCCAGAGCATCAGGCTCCGCCAGATGTGGTAAGATTGCTGTTTTATTTCGCATTATCTAAGGCCGTACTTGAGGTACACTTCCTTTGCGTTATTTATTTTCCAGTTTTACAATGCGGATGAAGCCCGTAAATATACGTCCAAGTAAGTATTGAATTGTTTACAACGGAATGCTTCCACGTGTTTTGCTTTAAATTTCATATGGTTTTAGCATAGCCTGAGAAAACAGCCGACATTTGGCGACACCACCACTGGTTTCCCCGCCAAATGACGTCTGAGAAACGAGCGTAGAAATTCCATACTGATGACGCGTCACTACCCAGATCTGGGTAGTGCTTGTGATTGGTTGAAACAAATTTCGCACACAGCACAACCATTTCAGAAGCACTACCCAGATCTGGGTAGTGACGCGTCATCAGTACGGAATTTCTGTACTCATTTCTCAGACGTCATTTCTCAGGGAAACCATTGGTGGCGTTGCGAAATGTCAGCTGTTTTCTCAGGCTAGCTTTAGAACGAGGAGGGTGATAATGATAATGACAGTTTTTTAAAAAAAATTAACTTCCTGAAAATAAAATAACCAAAAGTTTGTATGCGTTCATTTTGGTAAGACCATGAGGCCATCATAGTTTTGTCTTGGTCATCTTATGAAGGAGGCACCCCCTCCCCCTAAGGATGACGGGTTTTCGAACAGGGGGGTTCGGATTTTTTCTTCAAAGAAGCTGACAAAATTTGGACACTTCAGATGACTTTTTCAAAGGTGCCAACAAAAAATGAACCCTTCGGATTCAATTTTTAAAAGGGCACCAACAAAAATTTGGGGGTTTGGATTCCCAACATTTTAGTGGGGGAGAGGGCATGGGGTGCGAATAAAAAATGGAACGTCCCTGCTTAAGGTTTAGTTAAAGATCTAATTAATTGCCAGATGACTCCCCTGGACCCACAGTCATTGAGCAAGTGAGCTCTAAAAATTGTTTCTTGCCTAACAAGAAAATCTACTTGTCCTGCATGAGCGGGCATTTTAAGCCCTTCCTTTTTCAAACCCTTCCAAGATGCCAATTTGTAGGCCTTCTTCAAGTTTATTTTCTGCAATAATGTAGAAACTGTAACTTTGAACTTCACAAGATAACTTTTTTATGGTATTAATATTTAATTCCAGCACAAGAATGATTGAGATTCAAGTCCAGCTGTCTCAAAGAGCAATAGAGTTGTTAAATTTGCCAGAAGATAAACCTTGCTTTCTACTTGATATTGGGTAATACTGATTTGATCCTTCTTTCATATTATTGTGAAATTTTAACCACCTAACTAGAATGCTTGTTAGTGTAGTAATCTGCATGCAGAATGCAGAGGCTACGAGTTTGATAAAACGTGTAGCTGGAAAAAGTAAATAGTATTATGGTTTCAAAATAACTGGAGAAGAAGATAAGATAACTTTGCTTGGTAATTTCTGAAAGTTTCATTCCTACATGAACCTATCTAGACTATGAGTAGTCCTTCATTTTCCTCAGGGATAATGGAACAAAAGAAATGTTTAAGAGTGTGAAAATTCCCACCCTGGAGCTAATGGAGGGTGACATACCCAATGCATATGTGTGCTTGTGCATTGATTTACTCCTGGACAAAAAGACCTATTAAAAACCAACACTGGACTGCCTCGCTGGTGGGGTATTGAGCTGCCAGCTCTGCTGCAGGCCATGGGTCATGGGCTGTGACATCACTTTTGGCAAAACCGCCATTCTTGGATATTAATCTGAGCCACCTTATTTAGCTAATCACAAATCTCGAAAACACGCACTCTAATCCATCTTCAAATTGAACCTGACTGTGTACATTCCTTCAAGCTACCCTTCCATCAGAATCTTGAATTAAATTCCTTTTGAGGAGACACGAATGGTACCATGGCAGTTCTTGGAAATGTAGAGTAAAATTCATGATTTTAACTGCAGTGCTTGAAAGCCCTTGAAATTTCTTACAAAAATAATCACTGATTTTCTTATGATTTCAGGTGTGGATCAGGTTTAAGTGGTGAAGTGTTGACAGATGAGGGACATCATTGGATTGGTCTTGATATAAGCCAGGCCATGTTAGGTACAAAAAGTTTCTTTCAATTTTATGTGCTGTAACTTAATCCTCAATCAAAAGATATTCGCTCATTTGCCCTTACTAGTAAGCACAATCTTTCCCCTTTTAGTTCTGCCTCATCTTCCAAATAAAACTGTCATTAATTATTTTAAGATCTTATAACATAAATGGTATGCTTGTTTTATTACAATGTAGATGTAGCAGTTGAAAGAGAGGTTGAAGGGGATTTGTTTCTTCATGATGTTGGACAGGGTCTCTGTTTCAAACCAGGAACATTTGATGGTTGTATCAGGTGACGTCATTTAAATAAATCTGTTTTCTTAAAACATTTTTATTGGCATTGATGCAGTTGATTGAGGGCAGTAAAGATGATAGTATTAATGACTAACAAAGAGTTTAAAAATGTGTTTTTTGCTACAACTATGTTCCTCTAATTAGTTTATTATACTAATTATCCATGATGTTTTCCATCCATTATTATCGTATCAAGGCTGGTACTGTTGCTTCCTTCCAGGCCCTCAGACAGGCATACCGAAAATAAGCCCTGGGGCTTATATTTTTCAAAGGCCCTTTTTGAGGGGCTTATTTTTGGAGGGGCTTATATTCAGAGGGTCTTATGTACGGAGGGAAATTTGCATTTCAAAATCAATTGGGCTAGCTTATAGTTGGAAGGAATTTATCTTTTTTGCGTTGTTTTACTTTATATTTGAGGGCAATTTCCAAGTTCAAGCCCCTGTGGGTGCTTATATTTGAAGGTGCGATTTAATGGAGGGTTTTTCGTGTTACAGGTTTGGGGGGGCTTATATTTGCAGGGGCTTATACATGAGGGGGCTTTTTTTCGGAATTTTATGGTATTTCTTTTATTTATATCAGATTACTTCAATTTGTGTGTTTTATGTTTACAGCATATCAGCTCTTCAATGGTTGTGTAATGCTGACAAGAAGGGACACAATCCTGCAAAAAGACTTTACAAATTCTTCAGTTCCCTATACAGTGCTTTGGTAACTTTTTTGACTCACTTTTACAATATCCTCTGTGTCTTAGTTTCCAATAGTAACATCTGTTTCCAGTAGTTTTGTCTGGTCACATTGGTCACCTTTTGGCAATTATTGTGCTAGATAATAAATAATTTATAAGATGTCTATGCTTACACTGCAGGAAAAGGTCGAAATTATAACATTTTTTTTATGTGTTGTTCCTTTCTTATCAGAGTCGGGGAAGTAGGGCAGTGTTTCAGTTTTACCCAGAAAACCCTCAGCAGGTAAAATTTCAATAGTTTATATGATCCCCTTTTTTTAAATAAATAAACAATAATTACAATATTATTGCTACTGTTTTTTTGCACCAAGTGCTTACTGAGAACACTATAAATCCCTTTAAATCAACAACCTTTCAAAGATCTTTCTTTAACAGAACCAGTAGAATATGGAATGCTCTTGCCGCAGACCTTGGACTATCCTGTGTATCCGTTGCATGTTCTTTAAGTTCTTTTAAAGCTGTCCTTTATGGTTATTACAAACAAGCTCTTGGCACTTCCCACATCCCTGATGACCCTCGCTCTTTCAAATCTATATGCTTGACCTGTAATGCTGCCCATAATTTAGGACGGAACATCACGTGTTTCTTTTAGATAGTATTGTAGTTTTTACAATTTTTTTTAGCGATTTGTGTCTTGGGCCTGCAGTAATTGGCCCTCGCTGTTGCGGTGTCCCCGCCTGTACTCCTTTGAATATATGTACACTTTTTTTTGTAGTGTCACTTATCTTATTGTTTGGCAAAGTTAATAAAATAAAATAAAATAAAATAATGTTCCCTAAAGGAGACAGGATGCTATTTCTGTTCGGTTATTCGAGCCCTTGTGAAGCTCAAGCCATTAGCAGGGTAAAAGTAGGGGGTTCTTCCTCAGTTATTTAAGACCGTGAGTATTTTTTTGGTCCCCAGAATGGAAACTATAACATTATGCTCCGTAGACCAACAATCTACCAGCAACTGAGCTAACCATGCCATGGTTACATGTAGGTAACAACAACCAAGATTGCAACCGTTTATTTTCAACCCAAATACATCTTCCCAGAAGTGCATACAGCCTGATCCATACAGTCATGTACTTGAGTGGAGCAAGTCAGTGAATGTATGTTTTCTTTCTTCAGGTTGAGTTAATAACGACACAGGCTATGAAAGCTGGCTTTACTGGTGGACTTGTTGTAGATTATCCTAACAGCACAAGAGCTAAAAAGTGAGTAGTAATAAATACAGTGTGCCAAGCTACACATGTTTTAAATACAGTAAATTATGAGAGAACTGATTTATTCATTGAAACATCCATGCCCATTCTTTTTTTACCTGGCCAACCAAAACCTATATTCAACAAGGTTTTCTTGTTAAGTTTTCTATTTGTAGTTGCATGTGATACTAGCTTTGTAGTATCTTTCCACCTTTTTTTTAGAATATTCCTGTGCCTCTTTGCAGGAGTTGTGGTTGATAAACTACCAAAGGTTGGTTTTCTTTTTTGTTGTTATTATAACAATACCTTCCTGATTCTTTTATGTCATCTTTAATGCAATCTTTACGTTAATTTTGCAGAGGCACCTTGAAGGCAATCTCGTTTTCTTAGAACTTAATTAGTTAAAGTTAAACTACTACAGTATAGCGACCTGGCAGATGGTGTGATGAGTAGTAAGAGGCCGTTAGTTGACCAAACGCTATGGCGTGGTTTCTGTGACCGTGTACTCGTCTAAAGCAAATAATGCTCTTTTTTTGCCATTATCTTAAAAGTGTTCATCACTGACAGGCAATCTAGATAGATAGATAGATAGATAGTTTATTCACCTTTTAACTTGCAGCCAAGAGCTGAATTCCGTTAAGGTTTACAAATGCAATAATAATAATAATAATAATAATAATAATAATAATAATAATAATAATAATAATAATAATAATAGGCAATACTGGTTAAATCCTTGCAATAGCTGCCTTATTCAAGAAAACTGGTATAGTGCTGGCTTCTGCCTGTGGGCACGACTGCTTCAAATTCTGGATTAGACAATCTGCTACTGTCCATGGGCTAGGCTGAGTTGATGTTTTATTTCTACAGGGTCTTGGTACAGAAGACTCTAAAGGTGTTCAAGATAGTGTACAATTCAGTGGCCAAAGGTAAGTACCAGGGACTCTGCACAAGAGAATGCCAGGATATATTACTATTAATAGGAAATTTGGTAAAACGTTTCTTCAGGAAAGGAAATATTAACAGGAAGGAGGGGGGTAAACTTTTCATGTGATGCATTTTACACAAAGAGAGACAACTTGTGGAGACACTGGCAGGGATAATTTTTTCACACTAACCTAGACTGGATTTATATATCAAGGGCCACATTATAGTGTCAGTCAACTGAATCTCCCCTGCTCGAGCATGCTGCCTGAAACCGGCATTAAAAAAATGAAAATTATTCAAGAAAGAAGACATACAGAGGAGAAGTTGTCACGTCACGTTGCCATGGTAGCAAAATTTTTGGATGACAACAAACCGATAAAGCCACTTAAAAGTCTACGGTATTCGCACTATTTCAAACTTCACCGATCTTATTCAATTTCATTTAATTTGGCAAATCTTGGCGAAATTTTCTTTTGAACCGTATCTATCGTTATCTAAGTTTAGAAAAAGAAAGCGACAATTTTTGTATTGAGTTCAGCTACACCATAAAGCGAACATGTGAAAATAGAATGTTTCATGTCGTAGTGGTGTAACGACGGCAAAGAAATGTACAAAATGGCGTGATGCACGCGTGATGCACGCGTGATGCACGTGCAAAGTTGTTGTTTGTTAATATAAACATATTATTTTTTGCTTTTCTCTTTGCCGTCGTCGTTTGTTTTGTTGTCATCCAGAAATAGTGCTACCATGGTAATGTGACGTCAAACTTCTCCTCTCGCCATTGAGGCTTAATTTAAGTTGGATGTATCATCGTTATCGTTTTTTCGCTTATTAGCATATTTTAATTATTGCGGAGATCCAATCAACCTCATCAGACCGGAGGTTGAATTAAGTTTCACTTTTTTTTCATATCATTTCATTCGTTTACAAAGATTATAGCGTGCGAAAACAGCCGTTTCTCCTCGCTTTTCGCCGCTGAGGACGTTTCGCGGGGAATAACGTCTGCGACTCAGCGTTGAAAATTCCATAGTGATGACGTAAAATCTGTCCGGAATCCGGTCAGAAGCGCTGATCGGTCGACGGAGTAGTTACATTGTTTTAGCTATTGTTTACGAATAGCAGACAAAAGACAAAAGGCCACCGAGGTCAAATGTAAACAAGATGAATCTCTAACAAAACAGTCAAAATTGGTGAAATATATTCTTCTCTAGAAGAAGCATTTGAGTTTTGCTGGAGCTCATTCGCAGATGAACACAACGCTTTAGTAAAATCGACCAGGAGAAACGTGAAACTGAACAAATTTGGATGTGGAACCCCATGACTACCCGATCTATTATGTTAACATTGATTTACGTCATCAGTATGGAATTTCTGTCGCTCAGTCGCAGACGTTCCTCCGCGCGAAACGTCCCCAGCGGGGAAGAGCGTTGAGAAACGGCTGTTTTCACATGCTACAAAGATTAACGCTCCTATTTTATTTAGCGTTTATTTTATGAAGTAATAATTTGTTGTAATAAGGTATTAGTTACAATTCATAGATAGAGTTGCAATGCAAAGCTATTATTGTTTGCAAATGACCATAGTTTTTCTGAAATGCAACCTTTTGTTGTCATACAAGTTACTAAGAGTAACTTCAATGAAATCGTTGCCCATTGCAAGAACAAATTCTATGCACAAAAGTGCATTTTATTGTCAGTAATGACGCTTTAAATGACTGCATAGATGATATATTCATTATTTTTGTAAAGAAGAAGTGCTATTTGATATTTTTTCTTTTAGAGACAGGACTAAAGTTCCGCGAGGAAAATCGATTAAAAAAAGCAAAGACTGGGTCAAAGAAAAGAAAGACAGAAGACGTCGCCAAGGAAAGTAAGGACTAAAAAGACGTACTGCTCACTGAGTATTGACCATTTCACCAGCGTGTCATTTCGCCAACGTCCCGTTCGCTGACGTCTTAAGTCGTTTCGCTTACGAAACAAAGCGAGCGCTTCACATGTATATACTTCGTTCTTTCAAGTATGATACGCAAAAGTCCAATATGTGTATAACTCGTTCTTTAAGCCATTGATAGGTTAAAGAAGTTGGGGAACTGACTTAGCACGGTAGCGAAACGAGTTTATGCGTTAACGAACAGGACGTTGGCAAAACGACCGTAAATCTTAACAAACTACTGCCTGGCCTATGAGCAGGGTTCGTACAGATATAAAGAAATTTGGAAAAACATGAAATTTAAGAATTTCATTTTCCAGGCCAGAAAAGTCATAACACTTAATTGTTGGTCCTGGAAAGTCTTGGAGAATTTAAGTTACCGTAAAATTCCGAAAATAAGCCCCTCCATGTATAAGCCACTTCAAATATAAGCCCCCCAAACTCGTAACGCAAAAAACCCTCCGTTAAATCGCCCCTCCGAATATAAGCTCCCCGGGGGCTTGTACTTAAAAATTGCAGTCAAATACAAACTAAAATAAAGCAAAAACGGTCAATTTCCTTCCAACTATAAGGCTAGCCCAATCGATTTTGAAACGCAAATTTCCCTCCATAGATAAGCCCCTCCGAATATAAGCCCCTCCAAAAATAAGCCCCTCAAAAAGGGCCTTTGAAAAATATAAGCCCCGGGGCTTATTTTCGGAATTTTACGTTATGTTTGGCAGACTAACTACTACACCTGACAAAGCAGGGAGAATGTAAGATAGAGACGAGTAATTAAAAACGCAAACGGCGTACATTTTAGTGGACGCCAGAGTTTGTGCAGGGTGAACTGAGTAAGTTAAGAAAAATATCTCAAAACAAGGAAAGTTTTGAAATTTTTGAAAGTGACAGCTAAACCTAAATTCCTCTAAAACTTGAAATGGTTATGGAAAAAGTCATGGACAGTAATGTAAATAATTAGCTCAAAAGAGTATCATGAAACTCTGTGTGAGATGAAAGCAAAAACTCCGGGCAAAAACTTTCTCCATTTTACACCTCAACAAGGTCAACAAACACCACAAAAAAGTACTTTACACTACAACTTTCCTTACTCAGTTCCACAAGGATAATACTGGCCGACCTGTTCCTGAATGTGGGAACGGCGTAAAGAGATATGAACATTTTTTTCCGCTCTCTGACTTCGCGCCACACTCACTAGCTGAACTCCTGGAACAGGCTAGGATATTACCGGAGCGCTCCTGATAACCGCTGTCCGCAAAGAGAGGCGATATGTTGAGAGAAAAGAGAAATTTCCCCCGCTTGTCGCTTCTCCTCGTTGCTGCCAATTGTCATTTGCACTCGCATATTTCTGGCACGGATTACAAAACTTTTCGGACACGCGTGACCGTTAATTGTCTCCTTTGACAGGTCTGGTTCGGGCATGGAAAAGGTTCTTATCTTAATTTGTGCCAAGACATAATCTGAACGTAATCTAAACTCTACCTTCTAATCTTTCAGGGAGGTGAGACCCGATTCAAAGTATACTGGACGGAAAAGAAAGTCGGCGTTTTAAATGTAAAGCCATCGCGTGTAAATGTATAACTAAGAATTCAAGCCAGGAAGACAATTTACTACCTCAAAATAATGGAGAATCTTCGTCCGACTAGCCCTCTCTATCTTCCCTGTGGTGATCGTAGACTGCAGTTTCTTGCCTGTCATCAGTTTGACTTGCGACGATTGGGCGCCAGATATTGACGATTGTTCTGGCGCTGTAACTGTTTAGATCTGCACTGTAGGTCTGTGACACTTGGAACTGGGGTACGTGACACCACAAGTAATTTTCGGTGCCAAGAAGAGTGAGCATCCATAAAACATTCAATCACGGTACTAGGTGGAATGCTATAATCGGTCAATCAGTCGGGGTAAGAGCCATGGCTCTTGTTACTACTTAAGAACAAGTCACGAAAGCTACTAGGCAAAAGATTATGGTGTTAAGAATACATAAAAGTAGCGACCGAAAATGAATTAATGCTAAATATATCAAGGACTTTAAGCTGGCTAAATAAATGGGCGGTATTTGCTAGATAGTGAGCTTTTGTTGTGAGCCGCACTATACGCTTTTGCAAAAGGTAAATGAGGAATAACATTTTCGAGTTTAAAGGGTGTTGTATAGTGGACTAAGACGTGGCAAATTGACTTTGCAATAAACTTAAACTACTTGAAGAAAACCACTTCCTTAACGACGGAACGCCACTGGCCGCAGCTTGTCCTAAATAAGAAATTGCGACTCTCTCTGAGCAAAATGAAATGAAATCAAACAGCATCTTTCTACTAGGCGACTTTAATTGTGATCTACTGGGCGTCAAAGAACGCACCGAACTTATATAGACAACAATCTCAAAACGAGGAACGGCTACTGGATCTGTTTGACCTTTTTAATATGCAGAACGTTGTTGATAAACCTACCCGTGTCACGTCAACTACACAGTATTAAATTTACTTGATTGGTGACGACTATGGTAAACTTAATTAGTCAGTAAAACTGGAGTACCACCGCTTGGTTTTATCAGATCACTGCCTTATCTATGCAACTCTCAAGCTAAAAAGCAAAAGACCTCCACCCAAAATTATTCGGACGAGAAATTTTAAACATTTTAATGACAAGGATTTTGAAATTCCTGCCTGATCATTTTGCTCGCATTTGATCTAAATTTCTAGATATCAATTTTATCCACTCGAAGACGCTTTAATTATAACCTGACTGAATACTAACAATACCGAGAAGTTGTAGACCAACATCCAAGCAGGAATGCGGATTTGAATATGATAATCATCCTGGCGTGACTGTAAACCCCTGCGCGCACGCTCGAGACGCAATCCGGCGAGTTGAGTTAAAGAGTTGAGAGTCTACGTATCATGAGGAATTGACTAAAAATCGGTCAAAATGACAAAATGAAGGTTATTTGTGCTGGTCTGAGTAAAACTGGTACTAAATCTTTAGCAAGTGCCTTGCGGGTTCTTGGCTACACAGTGTACGATTTCCCAGAACACACGAGCATACATCTGGACGAATGGCGTGCTATTTATCATGAAGGGGAGACTCTTGACTTCGCCACCATGTACGAAGGAGTTGATGCCATTACAGACCTCCCAGCGGCTTTTTGGTTCGAGGAAATTCTCCAAAAGTTTCCTGAAGCGAAGATCATTCTTACTGTGAGGGATAGTGATGAAGTTTGGGTTCAAAGTTGGGTAAAGCACTTGCAAATGACTCGAGATTTAGATTTGTTTTCCAAGCTAGCTTATCTCTTGTGCGAGAAACCAAGAAAACTTTTAGATTTCTACAATGCGGAAGATTTGGCTGTTTATGGTAGTGTGAACCCTACATCAACCACCTTATTTAAAAAAAAGTATAATACACATAACGAGAGAGTCAAGGCTGTTATTCCACCGGAAAAACTCCTCGTTTACAATGTAAGGCAAGGATGGGAACCCCTCTGCAAATTTCTCAAAGTTGATGTACCTTCAAAGGATTTTCCTCGCGAAAATGTTGGAGGATCAGGTCGACATGGTTCAATCGCTGATTATGGCTTAGAACTGAAGCAAAAGACCACGTTCTTCTTATTACCTACTTTATTGATTAGTATTTTCCTATGTTTATATTTCTACTCTAGCTAGTTACAGTCAAGCCAGGTCAAGCGTACAATGAGCGTAATTCATGACTGGTATACAAGCGTACCCCCCAATATCCCATTAATGAATTTATTATTCGACATTAAGTTGAATCCGTTGGTAGTTGTAGATTTCAGATTCATCTCGGCATTCTTGCAAGTGTAATGACCCGTGAATTCACACGCGAAATTTCTACCGGCTCAATTTCCCTGAATTTGATGCAAATGTCTTCTAAGAAATTTAATCCGTTCAAAGATTTTCAATCTGACCAAATACAGAGAAGTTCTCGTAAAATATTTCACTGGTCATTACACGTGCAGGAATGCCGATTTGAAGTTGACTCTAGCTTTGAAAACGACTAACGGATTCATTTTTCAAATAATCAATTCATAAATAGAATTTTGGGGGGTACGCATGACCTGCCTTGACTGTAAATAAAGGACCCACCGTGCACTCTACTTTTCGGATCGTTGCAATGGAAAATTCCCAAGAGAAAGAAAAAGTTTGAAAGGGTTAGCCTTTTCATTGGCTCGGGTTTCGCCTGCACGGCAGGATTAGAAAGGGAAGGAGGAGGGGGAGGGGAAAAAAGGGAAGGGAGTGCCTGCTATTAGAGCCGGTGTTTTTGTATTCCGCCTACTAATTTCCTAATTGATCAGAGAACGTCAACTTTCAATACGTGACCAATCACAATTTAGTAGGGGTGGGAGGGCTTCTCAGCATGGTCCAAACAAAACATTTGGACAAATCCACTATGCAAAACCTCCCGAGCATTCGCTGCCTACTAAACAAGCTACGTGTATTACAGTTGATTCTTCTAGTTTGGGTTTCAACGTGACGTTCCTATATGATTGTAGTAATTTTGATCTTTTAAAGCTTATGCTAATAGAACACATTTCCTTTAATGTGCATCATGGTTGTTTCTTAGTAATGAATGTCAATAAGTTACTCATTATGGCTCAGCCAATCAGGCATTTTTTGGATGCCAAGGTCGGCAGAAGTGAACAAAATCTTTGAGGGCAGTTCCTTGTTTCACAATTAGTTTTCTGTATATGGAACTGATTTTTGGTATCGTGAATGTCAGCCAAATGGTTAATTAACTGATCAAGCTTGAGGTCAAGATGGTCAAAAGTGAAACAAGGCCATTGTGTTTCAACCACTTTGATGGAACAAGTCTAGTAATTTATTTCTTTATTTTTCCTATTAACCATATTATATTAATTATATATTAATAATTTGATGTTAAACATTACTCTAAAAAACTCAGGTTACAAATGTCCAAAATGGTGATGGCAAGGATGTCTATATAGAAGCAGGTTGCTTGTGAACTATATAGGGTGGGGCACCATAGGAATTAAGAGTACTGAATGAAAGATATATTATTATTATTATTTAAAAAAGGGAGAGAAAAAGAAAAGAAAAAGTATGTAGCTCATTAAAGACTTTATATGACTAAGAAAGAAGGAATTTTTTTGTCTTTTGCTACTACTTTAGCTATTTTGAACTCACTGACTCAGACTGACTCAAAAACTTAGGATCCTGAAACCAAATTGAGAATTTTTGAATATTAGTACAACAAAGAAAATTACATATAAAAAAGATTAGAATTTTTTTATATCTGTCTATCTGGATATTAATATATTATAGTTAGGAAGTTAACCTAAATGACTATCGGTGGATTTTACAGTTCCTGTTCTTTACAAAGAATGTCAGTGTAAGGGTCTTACAAAACTTAAGATATTATTCTGATTCAAGAGAGAATGAACTAGGTTACTCCTTCTTGTTTTATTATATTGTTTTGCATGATAAACGATTAAGTACAAAGAACATAAGAGGGTTTTAGAAAGGCAAAAACTTTACTTGTAAATTAGGCCTGTTGATTTTGATATTTTATTTGAAATGCTAGTCGTGAGGCTTCCATGAAAAATGCTTATTAAAAATCACACCTATTAATGGCGTGAGGCTCAGCAGCTCGGATAGTAATGGGTAATTTTTTTACATGACGAGGATAAAATACGTGATAAAATTATCCGTTTTTCTTATGGGGGATCTCATTTAATAATTTGAGGGGAAATATATTAACGCCGATGTTGTCATAGCCTTTTGTCATGAATAACATGCGGTGGATTCTCGCTTTTCGATAACAAAAGAAATCTGAAATTAATAGCCAGCTGACAATTGCGTTTTTCGCTGCCGTCAATCAAAACTACGATGACAAGTCAGACGGACCCTGAAACAAAGAAACACACAAAATGGTTCGAAATCCAGCAATCAAAAACCATGAACTTTTGAAGCATCGCTCTGTTTCTTAAGAGGTTCGCTGAGATGATTCAGGCCTGTAGCCAGGATTTTTTACGGGGAGGTGCGATCCTACGAGGGGAGACGGACAAAACGATATGCCAGAGGCGCAAGTCTGGGTTGGGGGAAATGCAGGTGGCCTGAGAATGCATTTCGAGCATTTTGAAGAACTGGGAATTTCTCAAACTTTTAGTCTTCAAAAGTATTTTTTTTTAATAGAGTACTTTATTTCACAATTTTTTTGGAATTAAAATGGGCTCCTGTTTAAAACGAAAAAAGGGTAGAAAGAACGTTGTAAATCCGTATTATTCGCCTGGTTTGATGCATGATGACTTCTGTCAGGTCAATGTATGTTAGTGGATGTGTTTATTACGCAGTGAAGAGAGTCTCTCCTGTGCCGCGAATACTACTTTTTGTCCACAGCAAACAACCGATATTTTAAACCACCCTCAAAGACATAAGGGCCACACAAAAAAAATAACAATGCATTCCTCAATCTCCTTCAAGAAAAAAAGAATCCAAAATCTACCCCCTGTAGTTGACAGGAGCCGATAAGTGGCTCCTCTAAGTAGCCTACGTAGCAAGCGTTTCCGCGCGGTTTCGGAGCAAAGAACGAGGAATGAGAGTCAAAGACCGCACGAAAAATGGAGCGAGTAAAAGAGCGGGGAGGGGCTGGTCAACAAAAAAGTGGACCTCTGGGGTGGGGGTGCGAGCGATCCCTTGCCCCTGCTCCTCCATAAGGGCCTGTGATTGACGGCAGTGAAGGACGAAAACGTTAGTTGGCTTTTGAACTTCAGATTATCTCATGAATAATCCGAAAAACTGCAGTTCCAAATGGTAGGCACCAAAGGTTATGAGATATCGGTATGTCCAAAAATGCACGCGTTGGCGAAAATGGCGAACATTCGCCAAAATCTTAGCAAAAATTCAAATGAGATGGCACAGGTGCGCTTTGAAAGTGGCTGTTTTGACGAAAATGGCGACTTTGACAAAAATGGCGAACTCTCGCCAAAATTTGACGAATGTTCCTATGACGTGGCAAAGGGACCCTTCTGAGAGTGGCTATTTTGGCGAAAATGGCATATTTGGAGAAAATATGGCGAAATTTGCAAAGCCTTAGCTGCAAGTCAAAGAAAATGCAAGGAGGCGCCTTGGAAAGTGGCGAATTCTGCGAAAATTGACTTCACCTGAAGTCTAAGCAAAAACTGAAATGAGATTGCAAAGTGGCCTTTGAAAGTGGCAATGTCAACTAACGTTTTCGTTCTTCACTGCAATCATCCCTCGTACCCTGGTAGCTGGTTTAGATATCGCCAACAATAGACGCATTATGACACCGATTTAAAACAAAGGGGTCTGCGCTTAGCTGGATGCCTCCTTTGTTCTTTCTTTTTGTCTTGGCTTGTGGAAATTCAAACACAAAAACAGGAAGGGTAAAACACTTTTGGTCTTTCGTCCAGAAATGTAGACAACTTGGACCTTGGGTACTTCATACCAGAACCAATTATTTTTTAATTTCCATGTAACTTCATGTTTGACAATTGCTCGCTTTTAGGCGAGAATTAAAGTCACAATCTCAAGCGTGCATTTCTAGTGCACTACTGACCTAACTTGCCAGCAAGTTAGGTCAGTAACGCATATAATACACTATAATACAATTATGCAACGGCGTCAGTCGGTAGGAACAAAGACTTTAGTGGTCTGCAACAAACTAAACCATGTAACAACTCAGCTAAAGTTAACAGATGTATACGACAAGATAAGTAATCAACATAAGTAATCAACACCATTTATATCCTACAGACAGCTGCGATAATTCTCTTTAATACAACAGGTAAATTTTTAAAAATATACTATGCCAAAAACGTTTTTTCATGACTGCGCAATAATTTCTTTGAATGATACATAGCGAGAGAATTCTGACACTGGAAGAGAACTTATCGCCAGTGTGCTAAAATCCAACAGAAGAATTAACTTCAACCTAAACGACCAGATTATAAGATTTGACAATCAAAAAAGACTGATGACTGAATTTGAAGTACCATATTTACTCGAATAAGCGCCGTCCCGATAAAGCGCCGCGACAATCAAAATAATTAATACAATTCTTTGTCGCATCAACCTTTAAATAAACGCCGCCCTCGAAGGCGCGCCGCAGTTTGAGGCGTGGAAAATTTAATAAGTGCTGCGGCGCGTAATCGAGTAAAAACGGTAATCGTGTCAAGCCAACTGGCTTAAGTGTGGGATTGGCTGTGCTGGGAGTTCCAACCCACAACAAAACAGGTGAAAAAAAAAAAAAGCTTTTCTTGCTTCCTGGCTGTGGTCTCAAGTTCTTGATGGACATGGAGTTTCATCATTGAGGGAAATGAAAGTGAGGAAACACCGGTTTGTGCAGTTGATACAAGTTCTTAAACAAAACGGTTTCGTGAGATAAATTAATGATACAAACATACGAGGATTGTTTCACTGGTTATCCAAACTCCTTCCGATACAAGTCTGACATTAGGATTACAGTGCCTTCATAGACCTGACACGATTTAGGTAATATTATAACAGATTTTTCTTTCTGTAGGAAAGTAGAGGAGATGTTTTCCTAGCTGAGCAGGGCGTTAGGATGCTTAATCACAAAGATGAAACTGACTGGCATCTTGTGCTGTAAAATAAGCTGAGAACTCAGCAACTTGAGAAACACAAAATGAAGAGAAATTAAGACT